GATTCCGATGTTTGATAAATTATCGCGCTTATGGAGAGAAAGACGCCGAAAGATAATAAAATAATAACATAATTTATGTACAAATCGTAGTAAAATCGTAGCTTGTACGAGAAGCGATAGTAGGAATTTGATTTATAGTTTCACGCAAACTACAATTCTTCTACACGGAAAAGAAAATGCTGTTGAATCAATTATATCAAGAATTCCCAATTAAATCTTCTTCATTGGATGGCGATATATCATTGAAGCTAATCTTTTAATTATTGAAACAATACGCAACATAATAATGTTTTAATGGTATTTGCCAGTGAATCCAGAAAATTTACTCCAATCGTACTGCTGCTGGAAATTTCATCGATTCAACAGCATTTTTCCGTGTACCAGCATCTGTGTCGTTCATGGTTACGATAGTGCTTAATTTCAAACGTACAAATGTAACCTGAAAGTTGCGCATGCTTGCGCGTAAAGAACGACTTATTCGCAGGTTTTTCGATTATTTTAAACGTGCACAAATGATTAAATTTTATGTATAATTCTAGAATTTTTTTTTTCATATCTTTTGACTAACTGATATTCAATAATACTTGTGAGTTACAGACAGTTTCTTCTTGTGCCAACCAAAAGAGACTTTCTACAATAAGCAATAAAGTAGTAAAAAAATTGACCAACTACAGTCAATTATTTTTCTAATAAATGACTGTAATTTCCTTACTACTTTATTTCTTATTGTAGAAAATCCCTACGATTTATGAGAAAACGTAGAGTGATTTACGAGTGATCGCGTGTCTGTCTTACGACACGCATAAAATAACAGTTCCAGTCATAATTTCTCACGAAAATAAGTTACAATTACAATTTCGTCTAGAATCCTGTAGTGTAAATCTTTGTGTTTATTCCGTTCTTCTCCTTTTCTTTTTGTTTCGAACGAGTTATGACGCGTTTTTTCGAAACACAAAAGTCGTATCGCGAAAACAACATAAAGAACGAGCAGAACTTCACGCGCAAATAAACGTTGCCATTTTTTACTGTGATGCGTCATGACACGCACGCACGCTCTTTTTTCGTCAGTCAACAAACTCACGGACACTGCTTCAGTCGGCGTGACACACCTAGCGATTTAATTGCGTTTTTGTTGGTAGAACCGCTCTCTCGCGTGCAGCCGGCTGGTGGCGGTCGCACAGCAAATTGGCGCTCACAGTCGATTCGCACGCGCGAGGAATTTTCTCCGATCGGTGTCACCGACATCATGCGAACTGTATCACGAATCGCGAGAAGCATGCCTCCAGAATGAAATATTATCGCGCCGTGAGCGTGTAAATATAATTGATGCTCCAAATGAGAAATAACGCGTTGCGCACGAGAATTTTATTTCTACGAAAACAAAAAACTTTTGGACAAACGATTAGATTTCTTCTAACAACGAATTAAGCTAGCGTGATTTTCAGTGACGATATTAACACTGCCAACTATGAGATATCTCGTAGGTTGTTTACTTGCCCAGGACGCCAACTACGAGTTACCTCGTCGCTTCATTACTTGATTTTAAATCAAATTGGCTTCTTAGACCGTGAAAAGTTCCGTCAACGTGTTAAAAGGCTCCCTCATAAGTTTATTATTTACTGAAGTACATTTCTATGTAACTAGATTTAACTTTACGAGTAATAAATGTGAATTTTGAACGAAATTAGAGCAAATATATACACAATATTCCAAACACAGGAATATGTATTTTTTTCTTAATGTTTCATTTATATCCGTTAGTTGAGCTAACAACAGAGGTGCACACGTAATTAAAAGCGATTTATAAATATTTAAATCTATACACATATGTATATATCACGGGCATTACTGTCAATTGTATATTTCCTATGACGTTAAAAATTTTCATAACGAAATGGTAAAAAATTCTGAAATTTGTGTATAATGTCTCTATATCAATCCTTAATTTCACAGTAGTTAGTCATTAAAATCCTAAGCGTGGTTTTGGGATAAATTAAAAATAGAAATTAAAAAATATTTCCATCAATATGCAGTTAAAATTTAAAAGAATTCCTACGCGATTATATTAAGAATTCTAGAAATCTATGAATTTCGAGTCTAAGAAAATGGCTTGACGGACGATCTTAAGCGGGTCAAGTAAACGACAGAGTTCATTTTCTCTTAATATCGGGGAATAATAATTATCGGTCACACGCGATCTTATCGCGGGATAATGTTGTAAATACGCTCCGTTTGCGACAAGTGTTCGCGCCATACACCACAGGCTAATTATAGACTTTTAAAAGACGTTTTCATGAAAAGTCTCTCATCGCGAACGATTCTCTAACATGAAAGTTGGAATCGATATGTCGATGTTAGATAAGAATTATAAGTAATTTACTTTGCTTGTACAGCAGAGATGCTCGCGAGACTTTATCGTCGTTACACAGTAACGCGATGAAGAACATGACGATAAAAATGAAAAGTGATAACAGGCGATGATCTCTTTAGTTCCCTATAATTTGCTGAAAACAGTCCCAAGATTTACATTTGCACTTGCGATAACGCGGGAGATCTCGACGGAAATACGCCTATCATCGAGAATCGGCGTAAATAATCGACGCGACGTCGGATATATACCACATTAACCGCCGCAACATTGTGCGATCCTACGGGTGAGAGAACGGAAATTTCCTCGCAAGCGTCGAAGCGCGATCGAATTCTACGATTATCTATTTACGGCAATCGCGTGAATTCGCGTGATTCAATTTCTGGCCGGCCCGCGCGCCAAGAAACGACGCATCGCACGTACATGGAACCGCGGAAAGGATCAATACCATCCTTCTTACCGACGTCGTGTGTGAGAAAGAGAGAGGTGCGCCTCAAAATCCACCGCCATCGAACGCGGTCTCACCTGGCTGGCGCTCAGGATCCACTCGCTATAAATATACCGCATTGCGGTATGAAAATAAGCCGGCGTCAAGGTATTTTTGATATTCGCTCTGGCGTGTTAATACCCGGGCCAGAAAAGATCGCGAGGAGTAAAAAAAAGATTTCTTTCGATCTGATACAATTTCTCTGTTTGAGGCAAATTTGTCCCTTAGAACGGAACGAACAGACGAATGTTTGATTCAACAAACGGGATCATTTGGTTTCTCAAACGATCGATATTTTCATATCAAATAACATATTTCTATTATATTGTTATATTGGCCACAAGCAATAAATTATTTGAAAAAAAATAACGCTGTGTTAGGAAAATATTAAAGAACTTCCTTGTTTCAGTAGAACGATATTCTATAATGGAATATAATTTACCTTCTGTGATATCAGCGTTAATAAAATAAAAAAAATCAAATATTATTTCCTCTAAATAATATCGTTTTTCTTCTACATTTCAAACATGATTTACTCTAGTGGAACAACATTTCAGCAAAATTTGATATTAAATTGTATTGTTCTATATTAAACAAACCCAAGTGAAACAAACACGTATACCAAAATCCAAAGAAACCTTTTTCAAGAAGGAAGAGAGAAGGAAGGAGACGGAAATTGCCAGGCAGTGATTTAATCACGAAAGCTCAATAACAAGCCCGTGAGCGTTTTTTCGAGGACACACATGGGACTTTTCAGTGACGCCATCTTTCTTTGGAAAAAGAATGATCGATCGATGGTGTCCTGCTTGGGGGTTGCGCAACGGCAGATAATCGTCATGATGCGTGGCCACAGTTTTGCTCGTAGGCAATATGCATATTTTCGCGGAATTCCGAGCATCGTAATCACTCGGCGAGAACGTTATCCGCGCGCGGTCAGTGAAACCGTCGATAATTTGCGTGCACAATAATGAGAGAGTCTCTCGTCGAAAGCCGAACTACTCTGTGTTTCTCATTACCGAAGCAGCGTGTTCCCGTCGTCGGATCATATCGACAATCGTGATAATCCACAAGTTAATTTGCGGCTTTAACGTTTTAATTTTACCTTGCTGCGAGCTAGATAAGCGACGTGACTCACGTCGGAAGAACAGCGTCTGTTTCGCGCGCGCGCGACAACTTACAGCGCTCTCTTGGTGAATGCAAGACGGGCGGACATAAAATAATGGCCTTGTTGTTAAGGAGATAGAAGGAATGCAGACGGCGTATTGTTATTCATACACATTTACACACACAAGCATAATATTTCGCGAAACACTTTCATGACATCGACTGAACGATCAAGCGATTTACACTGAGAAATGAGTTCGGTTGAATCTGCATGACAATGAACGATCAATCGCGTGTTAGTTGAAGGGAACAGAATTTCTGATTACGCGCAGGAAAGAGGTTTCTTCGATTGAAACAAATTTGTCTTTTGGGACGGAGCCAACGAATGAATGTTTGATTCAACAAATAGGATCGTTTTCTCAAGCAATAGATATCTTTACGCCAAGTAACATTTTTTTCCCATCCAACGGTCGTCACACAAATAATCAGTTATTCTAAAGAAGTAACACTATGTTAGAAAAATATTAAGAAACTTTTTTCAGTGGGACAATATTTAATATAGAATGATATAGATTTTTCCTCCATTGAGGAAATCTAACCTTTATTTTCTCCAAATAATAGTGTTTGTTCTATCAAACAACAAATGGTTTACTCCGGTGAAACATTTTCATTCGAACAAAAATGACGGAATTATTTAACAGAAAGAACGCTATTATTTGAAATAATAGCTTTTGACCGGATAAAATATGATTTGGTCACAATAAATATGTAAGATGAAACAAATAATTTCTTTATAAGAAAATTATCTTTCGTCTCACAAAAAAATTTTGTATTTAAGATAAATATACGTATTTACGTTGAAAAGTCTAACAATCGTACTTATTAATCGAACCGAATTAGTTTCTTCGGAGCGTGCCATGCGTGATGAAATTTGTTTGGATGCGATAAAATTCATTAAATTTGAGGAAATCTTTTTCTCAGTGTAACATCGTCGTGACAGAAGTCGGCAAGCAGGTACGACGAGAAGGCGATGGTTTTTACCTTCGTCCGGATCGATCAGGAAATTCGGCAGGCGTATACCAAGGAACGCCTCGTTCTCCGAAGTGGTCACACCCCTGATCGACATTCTCCCCCGGAATCACGCGACGCGAAAACAAAAAGGTTTCCGAAAAATTGAGCCCCGAAGTAAGTATTGAGCGAGATCGGTGAGGTATTTTTAATAAGGGGGGGGGCGCTGGAACAATCTCGGAAAATCTTCCGATCTGTGGCGCGCCTGGATTCGTCGCGTTCCGAAGCAAAAGCTCGAAATTCGACGACGGAAAGAACAGATTGAACAAAATAGATTTTTATTCTTTATCGTAATTCGCGGAAGACTAATTTTTCTTCTCTCTCGGAAGAAATTATCGCTGCGCGGAGGCTCGTATTATATCGGATTCCTCGGAATTTTCACTTTGAAGATCGACGAGTCGTGCACACGACGACGAAAGCGGCCGGTTTACCGTACGCTGCGGAACTAAGCGCGCGTTGTTTCTATTCGCGTTCCGAAAGTCTCATCTCGTACTGACGAGACGACGTAACACTGACGGTCAACCATTGTGAGGACGGCCAAAATACCATCGGCCGCCCCGCAGGGAGAAGGCTACCTGCCAATTTCCGAAACCTTCGCGTCAATCGGCACGACGTGTTTATCGACAAGCCGCGGTATACTACCTCGTATAGGTAAATTCAATCGCTGGAAACAGAAGGAAAGGGAGGACGAGGCTATCTTTTCTACCTACTGTTGTGACCGGCCGAGAGCACGTCCGTGGCTCGAGTACACAGTGAAAAACGGAAATTTTGTGCTACTTTAACAAAAATAATATATCAATGAGATGAATGTGTACTAATTTAACATTATATTTGCATGTACACAGAGGAGAAGGTCCCTTTAAATTTGCCTTTTCTATGCGAATACTAAAATTTGTTTCGCAGAAACAACATGTACGAAATATTATTTGTTTGAGTAAAAATGCGTTAGAAAAGTAAAAAAATAACGTTATCGCGAGAGATTACTGAATTTTCTCGCTTAATTCTCCGATATCCTGTTTTTAATATACGTATCGCTTCTTTTCCCGATTTCCCAGCGATACCGTACTGAACATCGCGAAGTTCGGCGAGAGATCCGACAATGGCAAATCGTCTTCCCTCTCGTGTATAATTCACCTCGCGAACTTTAATTAACTCCGCCGCTTTCGTGCAGCCGGATAAAACGTTGACTGCTGTTCTAGCGCGCCGCGAAACGTTTCGCAATCCCCGAGCAAAAGGTGATCGACCGTCGTTGTCGCGAAAAACACCTATTTAAAAGCTCGCCCGGGGGAAACGCGTTTAAACTAGTCGATGATGATTCGCACGGTGAGAAATCGGACAAAATAACTTTCGCCCAAAAAGTCAAAGAGCAGTCTCGATTAGGGCCTTCTTTCGAAGCTTCGGTGGTATTCATTAGTCGAAACACCAGAATTATAAGATTTCCAAACTATGCAATGTATTCTTCAAAGATTACGGCCTTTGAGAGCGAATCATCGAGGCTTCGCCTTACCAAAATTCGAAAGTACGGATTTTCCTCGAAGCTTCAAAATTTATCGAAGAGTAGCTTTGCGAGAGTGACATCAGGAAGTTGAAAGGAGGAGAACGTCCGCTTCAACATCCGACGACGGGTGATAATATTGCATCGTTAGAAACACGAGTCTTATTACAGCGTCTTGTTTCATAAGTTATAACGAGCTACTGTAACGATTTAGAATGTCAGTTACATTGTTAAGTGGCGAATCGATAATACTCACGATCACGATGGTGGTCCACATTGTGACCCGGTGTAGTCGAGCTGTCGGCATCACCCTCGCCGTCCAGTTCGTAGTAGATTCTGTCCCCACCGCCGTTCACTGCGACATCCTCCATAGTTCTGCAAGTACGTTTATCACTTTGAGCACGTGCGATGTTTGTGACGCTGAACGGCAATGTCAGCCACGGATTTCGCGGAACGACGATTTATCGAGCCCACCAATAATACGGAAGTGAAATCTCTCAGAAACAAATTTGTTTTAAATATATCCAGCAAATAGCAATTAATATTCTTAACGAATCTTCTGCTGTCTAAACAAATTGTTTTCGCTGTCACTATATATTGACAAACATCTGCTGTTTTAGCAAAATTTCTTTCCTCCGTGTGAGTTTTAAATAATTTCCTCGACATTTCATATGATATCGTAATTTTTCTGTTTTACCTGGAATATTTATTCATATAATGAGAACATCGCGAGAATCCAATAAATCCCGTGAGAAAAATCCAATTTATTTCAATCTGTGCGACCCCTTTATGTCGTCGTATTACTTATATTACATAAATATATACTGTTTATCACGACAAGTAAAATGCATCTTTTGCGTAGTAGTTGAAGCGTGAAATTGTTTTCTATCGGCTTTTGCCACTTGGTGAGCTCTGTGTCTATTAAAATCGATACTGCACGTGTCCCGGGCACTCCTTATGTACGCCCGAGTGCCTCTTGTATCTCTCCTTATCGCGGAGATGACATTTCGCGATAAGCCGAGACTACGAATGTGTCCGATCTATCGTAACTCTGTGCAATAAAGAACTCGAAATAATTATTAGGTCTGTGTGTTCTTTACAGCTGAACTCGCTATATTTCCTTTTTTTCTTTTTTTACATGAAATCACAGGTATATATCTCTACTCTTTAAGTATCGATACAGACTTACCTGTATCAGTGAAACATACAACCGTGATATAATCGACTATAATTAAAGTTCCGACGACGACAGCTGTGTGTTCACGTATATTCATCGCCGGTGCTGAAAATCTTCAATACACGTAAGATGAACTATAGATCTTCAGTACCGCCGGTGAATATACAAACTTAAGTCAACAGTCGTCTCCGCGCCAACAGACAATTGTTCGCGAGAATATAAAAGAGAAACATACCGAATTAAAGATCAACGAGTATTCGCTCAACTATTTTGAAACGCTATATTGCGTGCGCGAATTGCCGCGAGTCGCGCGCAAAAAAAAAACATGTCCCTTATCCGCTTTGTTTCGGGACATTTATTCTTCCGCCGGCATTTATTCTTTATACTCGAGAATATATAAATATTTATAAGCACGTATGTCTCTCTCTCTCTCTCTCTGCGGTAGACGATGGCATTCGTCGAGGCGTAACGGCGAACGAATTCGGGGAAGCCGGGACGCGAGAAATCCTTTCCTTCCCTCTCTCGAGAGAACTTTCCACTCATCATCGTCATTAGTGATCTTTTCGAATGAGGGAGCGAATATACGCGGCGACAGCTAATCCGATCGATAACGCCAGAGAATCTTTCTCGCAGAATATCTTTCGAACGGCGCGTGTGTATCTACTAGCTGGACTGGAACGCACCCCGACGATCTACTCGTCGCGAATTACGCGGAATTTACTTACTTCGCTCGCTCGTGAGAATCCCTCTCGGTGCTGCGGGCGGATGAGAGAACGTCGCGGCTCGCCGGAAGCGGGAGACACACACGGCTGCAACGGACGTAACGAAAACGGCGAGCGAATCGCGAGGCGTCGTGGCGCGCGCGCCCGGCCAATCGTCGCGTGGCAGCGTGGGTGGAAGCGTTCACGCTGTTCGCACTTCCGACCCGAGATTCGCCTGACCGTTGAGAGAGACGATCACGCACGTCTCGTAACGAGAAGTCGGTCCCTGTTCAGCGCGCGCGAACAACTCGTCGTCCTTCGGACGGAAGACACGCAGGATTCCGCCCGAGCCGACGCTGGAGAACTACTGGTCTGCCGCCAACTGTCATCCCGCCACGCCGCGCGCGTAAACACGCTCGTATGCCGTGTGACCGCGCCTGACGCGACTCTCGATATATCGAAGCGAGCGAGCGAGGGAGCTTACAAACGATCATTGAGTTCCCGCGAATATTTCCACGTATAAACGATCGTTTGTGATGTAATATTAGGACAGACACCCACATAAATAACGTCGTTTCTTCAGATTGAATAAAGATCGCCACCTTGCAATTTATTATCACACAACCTATAATATTAATTAAATTTATCGACATTTAGTGTGTTTATTGTGAAATTTTGGAAGAAATGAATGTTAAATAAAGCAAAATTTTGCATAAATAGCGACGTTACTTATGGGTACTACCTAATATAATGTGGTAGAATGTCGAATATCGTGGTCGTCCTTCCCAAAAGTTCCTTTCGATTGAACGTTTTGCGTGCGGATAAATTACAATGAACAAAATCAAAGCATACATTCGCACTCTCTCGATATAAAATAGATACGTGTTTGAAATTCGGTGAAGAGGGGAAAAGAAGAAAGATGAGGCAGGTGTGGCTGAACGGAAAGCAAATCTTATAAATTCAAGATAGGATAGACGATATAAATAATAATAAGAGAAAGAAAGATGACAGTCGTCCCGGGATGGAGCGAACGTAATTCCTACCTTCCTGGCGATACCCACGACGTTGAAACGTAGGAAAGGCGACTTCTTCACCAGCGGCTCTTACGGCACTGCCTCCGTGGTGACGCGCGTGGCACTGAGCGTGATTGGTCGAGGAGGCGCGATACCGCTGCGACGCCACTCTCTGGCGCAGACTCGTTCCCCTCGATCCTGTGAAAATCCATACCGTGACGACTGACCGTCGCCGTTCTCTCAACGTGTACGCTAATTATACCAGAACTTCCTGGCGCTAAAACGTGCGTCTACAGCGTACGTGTGTGTGTGCTGGATACCGCAGATCGCAAAGTCTTGAAGAGCACGCAGTGGTCTAACGAGCGAGTTCTCGATCGATTCCTCTGTTCTAAACTCGGTCTTAGCTCGACTTAGTTGTCTGTACTAAAAAAAGTGTAAAAAGCGATACAACACGATGAGAGGCACAATCAGCGTAACAGCTTATTCGTACACACCGCATCATGTATGCCCATTTTTTGGTTTTAATATTTTTTTTTAATCTCTGCAAGTCTTTTATTCAAAATAAAAAGATAAGAAAGAGAATATAAAAATTATAGAATTTGTTCGAATTTGTTGACGTCCTTCGGCATTACCGGATCTACAATAGGTGTGGTAAGCTCCTTTTGCTTTAAACAATAAATATAACGTAATTTATGATAAAAAGCATTGCTAAAAGTTGCGATAACGCTTAAATCCTGCGATGTCTGATAGCGCTCTTTTGCTAGAAATTACGTTATAATTTTGTGCTCCAAAGAAAAGTTTACTATATCTATTGTAGATTCGGACAAATCGATCAAGCGGCCGTACAAAGAACATCATTCATGATTGCTCCTTATTTGTTCACACGCATCATTAATACGCTGTATTAATTCAGCTCGAGTATTAACTTGCCTTTTGTATACAAAACGTTCAATTTTTACGGTTTTCTTTCTGATTTGCCATTTTTACTAAAAGAAAAAATGACTGCAAAACTTTATGCACAGAAAAAAGTGCCAGATTTTCAAGAAAATGATTACTCCAATATTCTTTAGCAAATTTTTATTTGGATCAAATAAAAGGATATTTTCCAAGTAAATTTTTCAAGTAAAATATTTACTCGGTCCTCAAGGAAAATTTACTTAATCCAAGTAAAAATCTGATAAGAGGAGTATCGGAGTAATTATTTACTTAAATTTAATACTTTTTTCTGCGTTCTATCGTCTATAAACTTTAAACACTCGTAGACAACCATTTCGAACTGAACTCATGTTCCACTTCAATTTAAAACCTTAAGTTTGTACAGTACGCTATGTAACATCTTGTATACGGAAGGTTAAAAATCATTTCATTCTCAACCTGGGAAATGGCATACACGAGACAGTGTGTACAACGATGGTTAAGATATGAACTTACGTATATCACTCTCGTTTTGCAAGCGCAATGCTACCAAGCACGAACATACTCGCCGAGTGTTTGGCATTTAATCGTTTATTGCACACGTGCGTTCGATATGTACATTCTAAATTAGTCGAGGCAGGAGATTTCCGGCTATAAAGCCACTTCTCGAGGATCTTAATACGAATCGAGTCTCTATTCTACTTCGTTATTCCCGTGAGCGAGACCTAATTGTTTCGTCTACACGGATTCCCTCTTCGTGCGAGACTCATCCTCCGGATTTGAATGGTAATTAGCACCCACGCTATTACAATGTGACTCCGCGCTGAAGACGCGAATTAATAAGGACGGATTTCTTTCGCGACTGTACAAACGCGGGAAGAAAGTAGAGCAGCGTCCTGTGTACCTTCAATTACGCCCGGTTATTCCGCCATTATAGAGAAACACGGCTTATATTCCGGCGAAATTAATTGAGCGCCTTAATTAGAACGGTGATTAAAATCGAGAGAGACGTCTCGGTCGACGCAACGTAATTTATCATCACCCCCCGTCCGTATCGCCGATCTTGGACGCGACTCAGTTGAAGTCGAAGTCACTCTCCGTGTTCGAAACGTTCCTCTCGATCGTAGTGTCCGTCGTGTCGGAGTCCAGCAACGACCTGATCACATCCTTCTTCTTCTCCTCCTTCGGCTGGCCGGTCACGTTGTCGTCCGTACGCTCCTCCGGTTTACCCTCCTGCCCCGTCGACACCTCTTCCGGCGCTCCCTCGCTGTCCACCGTGACGGGATTCCCCCCCTGCTCTCCCTCGTATGTCTGATCGTAAGGAGCGGTGTATTCGTCGCCTTCGTATCCTTGACCGGCCTCGTACTGCTGCTCGTAGCTGTAGTCGTAAGCTTGATTCGGATCGTACTGCGCGTCCTGCTGACCGTTCGGGCCGTATTGCTGGCCGTCCGCATACTCGACGTAGCCCTGCTCGGCGTAGCTCGCGTACTCCTCCACGCCCTCGTACGGCACACTTTGGCCGTAACCATCGTATCGCCCGTTCTGTTGCTCTTCGTATCCCTCTGGGTATCCCTGCTCGGCACTGCGTCCGTCGTCCTCCGGTTTCCCATCTCGCACGAGTTCTGCAGCCGCGGTTTCTCCGTCCGCGACTTCCGACGGCGGGCCGCCTCGCGGCGACTCGATGATCGCGCCGTTCGCCGCCGCCTCTTCGCCGGCTCGCTCCTTATCCTCCGGATCGTCCAGGCGTTCCAACTCACGGACGCTCTTCTGCACGCTCGCGAGGTCCCACGGCGCCAGTTCTCCGGCGGTGTCGAACACATCGTCGACGTTCGATTCCTCGCCGGTGACGAGCTCCGCTGCGTTCCTCGCCTCGTCGTCGACGCAACTTGCGTCGTCTTCCTTTGGCGCTTCGCCTAAATCATCGTTCTCCCTCGAGTTTTCCAATTTCACCGGGTCTGTCGCAACGTCCTCCCTAATTTCGTCCGTCCCGCGTCCCCCGGCTGCTTCGTCCGCATCGCTCCGCCTCGCCTCGCTGCCACGCCGCGGGGAGTCCGCTGTTCTGGAAGCGAGATCGCTAGCCAACGCCAGGATCCTGCCCATCTCGACTTTCTCTTTCCTCACCCTGTCCTCAGCAGGCAGCTCCTGAGCGTCCTCCGACAGGGTGACGTTCAGCAGGTCGCCGCTGGTGTTCTGCTCGTGGTCCTCTTGGCTCTGCACGCCGTGCTCACGATGGAGCTTCCGGATGTTGTCGATGTATCTGTCCAGCTCGTTCTCCAACATCGCCGTCGCCCTGCCGTTCTCGTCCGGCGACCTGGTGGCGTTCCTCCACGACAGGCGCTTCATCGGATCGTCCATCACGTCGTCGCTCGTGAGAGAACGGATGGACTCCTCGTCTTCGGACTTCCTCAGAGCGTAGTCCATGTAGTCGGGCAGTGGGCCGACGACGTTCGTCGTCTCGGGGATCATCGACGCGCCCAATTTCGCGACATCGGACGGAGCGTAATCCCGCGGTTGAAACGCGAAGGGAGCGTATTGCGTCGCCACCGATCGTTGTTTGAGGAATTGATCATCGGGTTGAATTTGCCCCGCGTAGGAGACTCGAGGATCGCCCGGAGGCGAGTATCGAGTGTCAGGTGTGCTAATCACTGGCACCTGGCCGCTGAGCTGATCGGCCGGCGGTGTGGTTGGCGATGAATTACTTGGCAAAGTGCCGCTCACTGGAGCCTGATCGTGGAATTTGGGCGACCTTGACTGGATTGATTGAAAAGGCGGTGACGCAATGCCCCTCGCTAAATCGGGGCGCGCCGCCGCTGCAACGGTCCTCCGCGGGCATCTATCCTCGTTCTGACTGGCAATGCCACTGTCCCCGGTGACGCTGCCGGCTGGCCGGCAATTCGCGTAAACGCGAAGCAGATAAGCCTCGTATTGTTTCTGGAAAGGATCGTTAGAGAGGAAGTAATTGTACATCGTTATGGGCGAAAATTATTGCACTGTGTAATGTGTGAAAATTTAGGCCTCTCGTGTGTTCGTCGTGTATATTCGATGCGCGACGGTAGTGTCTCGAGGTGAAATTTCGAAACGAAAATCTTGATTTCCTCGCGTCTTTCACTTTTCTCCCTGAAACTGTTAGATTTTCAACGGAAGAAAAGATATTGTAATTAAACAGATAAAAAAGACATGATGAACTTTAAATTTATAGATGAAATTGTTCAAAATGCAGCATTTACTTTGTTTCGTTCGAATTTGGATATTGCCGAAAAATAGACACTTATTTGTTTCTACACAATGAAAATCAATTTGGGAGGAAGCTAAAAACACAGCCGAAGCTTTCCGGATATTTTCTCACGTTCCGATGAAGAGAGATGGAGCATTTCTAAGATTCCACATTATTATACTTCAAAGAAATATTTTTATACCGGACACTCACTCTGAGAACATTAAGCCTGTCTTTCTTCGCGCTTATCAACGCGAGTTTGTTCGTCACTTTATCCAACGCCGCGAGGAGCTTGTGATTTCTCTCGTCCCGCGTGCGTTGCTCCTCTAAGTACTGTATATATCTCATACGTAATCGATTTACACAGGTGTCGTGTCTGCAATCAGAAAGTTGTTGAGCTATTTCGCATGTCCAATGGTGAACCTATTATAATAAAGATAAATTATATCCTTCAGCGCGAGTTTCGATCAAAGTGGACGTAATTTTGAAGCGAGGTGCGATTACGAATAAAATTTAATGTTGAAGGCCAAAGAATTTACGCAATGAATCCGTCACGAAATTGTGTGTCACTGAGGAAATGTTGATATTCTCAAATGACAGAGACAACTGATGAATTCTCACGAATCGCACGTACATAATATATATTCGTTCATTTTATTAATTGCGATACGACTGCTCTAAAGTGAAACGGCATAAAATGTACGGTCGCACTTTTATTCCGATCGATGAAGTGCTCGGATGTCCCGGCCAGACACGAATGGGAACGCGTAAACACGAGAGAGAGAGAGAGAGAGAGAGAGAGAGGAATTCGCGTTCTGCCAACGGTAGAGATACGTCGGGCAACGACGAGGACGGGATTATGCTCGCCGAGTTATTGATCGTGACATTCCGTAGAACCGGGCTGCCGCTAAATCGATATCGAGTATTTCGGGTAGCATTTTCCCTACGTTGTCACGATATGTCACATGAGACGTAGAATAATTAGTTTTACGATTCTTCAGACTTCCACACCATTTCGGAACGGGGAAATTTGCCTGATACTTTGAAGAAGAAAGAGAGAGGAAGATGTCAATTAAAAGTCGATCGATTAAAATGCACAGAATAAAGCAGATATGTGTCACATTGATTATATTATTAAAAAATTAGGAAAACGCTTTTGTATAACTTTATTCTTATTTTTCGTAAAAACAAGAGTTGCTTAGAAAAGTTTTAAATTAAATCTCCACTTATGAAGAATAATACAAAGATGAATAAGTGCGAAATAACTTGACAAATAATCATGTAATTATTTTGTTTAGTTAGTTAATAAAAGAAATACAATTGCTTATCCTTAATTCTTTAACCAGTTAAGTGCGTTCGACGTGTATACACGTCGAACCAAATCTCTACTGAGGTGCGTTTGACGTGTATACTCATCGTGTAAAATAAAAAATTACCGTTCACTATAAAAACTCTAAATCTCAATAAAATGTAATAAGAATATTATTTGGTGGTATGTTCCCTTTATATTACCAATGCGACCGCTGTGTATTTCGTATGGAGGGGGGCGCGCGTTTCAAAACTAATTACATACGTAACCCGCGACTTGGACGGCCAGCGTTGATTTGCGGAGAAACTGCGTCAGCAGTTAGGAGGGCCAATAATGGCTCGCTGCTCTGCGAGGTTAATACATTCTTTACACAAGACAGGGCATTCGAAAAACAGTACGAACGAAACAATCCGAAATATTCGAACAAAAGCTCTCCCTTTCTTGCTTTCGGAGCGTCTCAAGTAAAGTGTTTATTTTCATAGTTATTACCAAATAAAGTATAAGACAAGGTAAGTATGAAAAATACTAAATATGTATAAATAATAATAACAAGATAATTGAAGTGGCGGGATAAAAGAGACGTACTGTTTCTTAGTACATTTCATGGCGCTGGTATAGTAGAAAAAGAAAAACGGGGTGCGATAGTAAGAAAACCAGAAGTAGTATTTGATTATTCTACAAAAATGGGCGGCGTGGACAGAAGCGATGGAATCATAGCATCGTATACACTTGCGAGGAAAAGAATGAAAAAATACTATAAGAAAATATTTCTCCACCTCATCGATATTATATGTTTCAACTCGTATGTATTATACAAAAAAAATAGCGGAAAACTAAGTCGACTGAACTTTTTACTACAATGTGTGGAAGAAATTGTCGAAGAATATGCAATTCAAGAAAAACAAGTTTCTCAAATTGGTCGACCATCTAAATCCGCAAAACCAACACGGCTCATCGGGAAACAAATTTTCTGCCGGCTACTCCATCAAAACCAAATCCTCTCCGAAGGTGTGCCGTTTGCTTAAAAAATGGAAAACGCAAGGAAACAAGGTTTTGGTGTACGACCTGTGAAGTCGCACTTTGCGTAATACCGTGCTTTGAAACATATCACACATAGATAGCTTGAAATTTTGCAAACTATTTTCATATTTTTCTTCTTTATTCTTGCTATCTTCAATTTTTCTTGTTTCTGTATTTTATTATTTTTTGACAATTTTCAAGCTTTTAGTAAGAATAACGTATTGAGAAACGAATTGTTAGTTTTCTTGACGAATAAAAATGTAATCCTTCCTCGTTTTTCGTAAAATGTATAATAGTACCATTTGCCCTGCGTTCGACGTGTATACACGTCGTTGCTTGTTTTTAATTCAGCACCCTGTGGTGATCTTTTGAAACTAAATTCCACAGTTAACTGGTTAAAAATAGAAAATTTCGTTACAGCTCGCTGTACCTCACAATATGTAACTTGTGAATGAATAACTTGATCCAGGAATTGCAAAGTGCCCTGAGCAGTGAATCGGCCATCAGCGTTCTTCGATCAGCCACTTGACCGGTTTTTAGATTTCATTAAACATAGCCCATCATAATACTTTTTTATAGCACATTGATCGAATTTTGGCACTTTGCAATCACTATGCATATTTCTTCCAAGATAGGACAGAAAATTACGATGATGTGAAAGTGACGTCAAAATGATAAAGATCAAATAATCAATAAATGAGTTTTATAGTAATTTTCTGTTCCACCTGGATCTCCCTGTCAAATTTTTCCACAGCATCGAATATTTAAATTTTTATGAGCGAATAATTAAATGATATGATACTAAAGATAATTAAACGACGAAGAATGAAGAACTTCGACAAAGTGAAAACTCACCTGTTACGAGACTCTCGCGCGAGCACGTTGAATCGCTCCTCCAACCGTATTCTATCCTCCTCACTGCAAAATTTAGCAACATCATCGTTAATATTTTTCCGGTGTGTGCTATTATCTCTCTCTTATATACTTGCCTCTTCCGCAGCTTCTCCTGGAGCTCAAACATCTTCCTGTAATAGTCGTGGCCGTCGTAAAGCGGCGCCATATTGCTTGCGATCGGAAAGTCAAAAAGTCGAAGTGATCGAACGCATCGATACGTTCGATATATAACGCGTGTGATAAACTTTAAGTCGTGCTCGGTCCAAGAAATATGTTCATTGTTCCGACGATTCGAAAAGTTTCGAAAACGGATATCTGTGCGAACAAGTCGATAAACGCGATCGACGTGAATATTCACGCTCGAGGAGAACGCGTTTCCATCCCCATCCGCTTTCCATAACCTCCAATTAGCACCTCGAATCCAACCAGAAAATTATGTTTGTTCTCTAAAAGAAAATACGTGGTTCTTTTGAATAAGAGCGTAATTTCCAAGAAATGCACGATGAGGCGAGAGACAAAAATAAAATTGCTGAAGTATATCGTAGTCGAAATAGAGAAAATAATTTCACCAAGTATAGGTTATCCGAATTAAATCGGTACGAAACAGGCCGTAAAATGAAGGGAAACTAAAGGGACATTCGAAAGTGATATCAGAACGACCGAGAAAAACGTATCTCGGGTTCATTCAGTTTACCGTGTTTATCACGAGGACACTCGAGCCGCCACGAATTGGCCGCGCGCGCGGCACTGAAAACGAAACCTCTTCTTCTTCCTCCTTGTGGTATTCGCGCCACGAGGTATTCGAATCAATTCGCGGATATCAAGCCTTCACGCGCGAGATATAACGATCCTTCGTCATGCCGACGCAGCGGGCAACTGTCGCGCTTGACGTCGCGCGCCGCGCCAGGTCGGGGTTGTTTCAACGGGTAAACACGCAGGTGTGTTCCCTACCCTTATACCGAGCGAATTCGTGCGACTCGGCTGAGCAAGCAACGGGGCGTTTCATTAAAGTTTCACGATATTGCGAAATGTAGAAGTTCTTGCCGTGCGATTACGATGCGAGATAGTTGCTCTTTTGCGCATTTTTCTTTTTATTAAAAATAAAATCAGATCGGAAGAGTCGGTTTTGCCTTTCTCAGAACTCGTTGGGAAAAAATGATTGCATATAATTACGTAAAATTATCGTATATGCCCATATATATATATATATATATATATATGTCCATACGAAAAAATGTCATTTAATTAAATGTCGATATCATGTGCTGTCAGAAGCACAAGTAGCCAGAAGCGTTTACTTCGATTGTATTTGCATATAATTTGTAAACAACAGTATTTTTTCATTGTGAATATACATGATTATATATATATAGTCGTATATGAGCAAATTCCACACATGATCTCTTTCTTTCCCGAGTGATGAGATTCTCAGGCGACTTATCAGAATCTTCTAGCATTCTTAGCGCACAATATGATTTGTATCTCAATATTTCACGCTGTGATTGTCGCGTTATTTCTCAACACGAGAGTGTAGGAAAATTATTTCGATTCTTGATATCAAGCCCCATTTTGCTCTTTCTTGAAGCTATAATCACGCGATGAATGCAAAGAAGGAAAAGAGTTCGGAAATTTCGGATACAAACCTGATCGCAATAATAAAAATCAACCAATGCAGGCATATCAGAATCAATAAGAGTCGCATTACGACGGCTAATAAGATTATAACTAAATCCCCCCCTCCCCCATCGATCGAGCGAAGAAGGATACATTTAAGGGATATATAAGGTTTGCGGCGCGGTTCTGTGCGGTCACGTCGCGTGCCAGTCGCGAATTTCCTCCTGGGAGATATTGCGGCGACCTCCGACCTTCCATTTAGTTAATTCACCTTGGTAAAGCGGGCCGAAACGTATATATAACTGTACGCAACCGATACATCATATATATATATATATATATAAATAAGTCAAAACGGTCGTTACTGTGCAGTATTTATTAATTGCATCGAGAGAAAGAGAGGAGTTTGGTGCGCGTCGCAGGTTCCTCCGGAACATTTTATTCGCACTCCTACTCGAATAATTACAACGAAGAGAGAAAAATGTCAGCTCGCACGAAATTGTCATCCTATTTCCGTTGTGATTCGTCGAATCCCTCGAGTTTCTCTCTCTCTCTTTACGCCACTTTTTTGTACTTCGCACGCAGATGCTCCGTCAGTTCGGGTGTCTTCGGCGTCGCCATATAAAAGACTTGCTCCAACTGATCACCGTCGAGTTTGAACACCCGACGAGTCTGTGAGGAGAAGATCGGGGATACCGTTATCGGGAACAATTGGTACAGCCGTATATATTTATACCTGTGTCAAGGCCGACGGTTGATCAGCATCCACCATGTACACGTTGCTGCTCTTCAAATCGATGGTCTTGTCGGTCAGACTGCCCCGTTCGATCGTGACTATACCGATGTTATTAATCAGACTGAGACTGATCTGATTCGTGTCGGGTGCGATCTGGACGAAGCCGGTCTCCCGGTGCATCGGCGTTCCCGTTTCCGGGTCCCAGCTCTGCGCGATATAATTGAATATCGGCTGACCTATAGACGTGATGTTAATCTCGTCGTGATACTTGAAGGGCTTGATGGTCGGGTACATGCCGTCCGCCGGCTGCTCCGTGATCCACGTGCCCTCCAACCAGGCCAGCACGCCGAGCACCTCGTGCAACGGTAAGACTTTCATCAGCATGTTCGGCTCTTATGTCCGATACAATTATCAATAACGCGAACGAACTCCTTGCCCAGCAATTTGCACGTTCGTCTAAGAGGCCACTCGATATCTGCTACTCTTCTCTTTTTATACTGAGATCGCCATGTGAGATTTCCAGTATTTATACCTGCGCGAGGATTTTATCGCGTGCAGTGTACCGTAACGCCGAATACGAACCGCTGAATATTTATCGTCTAAAAACGGAAATTGCGACTGATGGTCGTAAAAAAAAAAAAAAAAAGAGAGAGACACGTGTGCATTATTAAGCTATTATGTAATGAAATGATGAATAATATTTTTAACGGAAATTCTGTATAATCGAACTATGAACTACGTTTAGATTTGCAAATGATACGTTGAGCACGCAACGCGCGATGGGTCATCCTGATATAATGTATTACCAGACGATGACGAATCAGAACGACTGGACGCACGTTTCTTCGACGATCTAGAATTTTATTCGCGCACGATACTTACAAAGCTACATCAGCGGTAAATAGTAGGATAATACATGGCGAAACGCACTTAAAACCCGATCTTCTCCTTTTCTATTCTCTTATGCTACTCGCACATTTTTTTATACTTCGCCCGCAGATGTTCCGTCAGCTCTGGAGTGTTAGAAGTTGCCATGTAAAGTACGTGTTCCAAACAGTCGCCGTCCAATTTGAACTCTCTACACAACTGTTATAAGAAATAATTATTGATAAAATTTGGAAAGTGCAATCTGTACAATTGTAAGATTGTGCTTGTGCCAATGTAAATCATGGTATCAGAGTTTGAAAAAATTTAGATACATATGAATTCCTGAATTGCAAGTGTTAGTATATATATATTAGAATGAAATATATAAAATGCTGATAAGTCAATACCGAGCATCAGTTACATATATGTCATAATTTCGCACTCAACGATGTAAAATAACAGCAGTGTTACATTGCATTTATACTGTTGAGTATAAAATTATAACGTAAATGTAATATAACTGATGCTCAGTGTCGACTGGGATATATCAAATATGTATCGACATTCCTATTAACACTTTTAATTTAGATTTTCACTGCCCTTCTACCTGCATTTTATGCATTGTGTCTCTAGGAATCTTTATGATTTATTATTCAAATATACCTGTGTAACAGCAGGTAGTTTTGTTTCTTGTACTCTCAACATAGTCTCAGTACTTTTTAAATTAATAGCTTTCTCAGTCACCTCGCCTTCTTCAACAGTTGCCAGGCCAAAATTGTGAGCCAAAATAAGAGATATTTTGTTGGTATCTGGAATGATCTTTAGAAAACCTGTTTCCCGATGCATCGGTCTCTGCGATTCCGGATGCCAACTTTGTGCAGTGTAATTGAACATGGGCTGCCCTATAGACGTGAAGTTTATTTCTTCGCAGTAATTGAAGTCTTTAATAGTTGGATATTTGCCACTGCCGTAGTTCTCTGTCTTCCACTTTCCTTCTAACCAAGCCAGTGGTTTTAAAGCCTCGTGCAACGGTAAACGCTTCATATTGTCGATCCACTCGCAAAACTCTAACTATGTTGAAGCAAATATCCAAGGTCAATGATAAGATTCAGTTTTGATTTCAGGGTGCCTCAAAATTTCTCTTTCTCAACGACATAACCTATAAATAAGTTACAATTAGTGACAATTAGCAGAATCAAGATGCACAAAGTACATTTAATATAAAAATAAGTTTCTGATCTTGCAAAAGTTATAACACACATTTACCTTGTTTACACAATCGTGTTAGATTCTTTTCGCACAACATGTAATTGGTACTGAACAGAATTTACCTTCCAGCTAGGATCTCTCTACACGAATTCTCGTAAATACTCTGTAAACAAGTGTGATGTTCAACTTTCTAACATTCAATTTATCACAGATATGTATTTCTTAATTGTATAACATATATATATATATATATATATATATATATATAATATTTGAAAATATATTTCGTCCTGCAACTTACATTTCTTACGGTTTCTTAAATTTAAAAACATTAGAGGCTAATTGCCAGACGCATGCGCACGTTACTTTACTTTTATCAGAATGTGATGACATGTTGCTAACCTAAGATGTACTCGTGCACGTTATCACTTTTTAATCACGTTAAAAGACGAGAATGATAACCCCATGGAATCTGCTTCTACGTATCGAAATGTGTATTCACGTTAATTTTTAACTAAATTTTAACTAAACAAATTAGTTTACAAATTTATCGGAAGATTATAGGCGATCCGATATTTTTATCGTTGTTGTGTTCGTGCAACTTCTTTTTTGAATTTTTCAAACGAAACGTTATGGTTGACATAAGTGTAAGCCAGCTCGTGAATCAGATAGACCAAAGCAACTTTACATTGTATACGGAATGGCAGGATACGTACTTTAAAATAATATTACTACGCTCATGCTTGGTACCGCTGAGTGGTAAGGTACATATATATATATATACACACACACACACACACACACACATTAGATTATTTTATTTCAAATTATTGATATGTGAATTACATGTAAGAAAACAATTGTTATTTCTTACACAAGATATTTTATTAGCTCTTATGAGAAAAGCAATGTAACACATTATTTTCTCATTAGTTATCACAACTGACAATTATATTTAATATTTTAGATGCATCCACAGAATATCATTTATTTCCTGGATCATCTAGATGAATCCTTCGATACGTATCTGGAGAAAACGAAACGTGCCTTTTCCGGCGAAAGTATGGAAATACAATTTTTCCTGCAAGACGACACATTCATGTGGAAAGAGCAAAATATTCTCACTCGTGGAGAAATTACAGTATCTCCCATTTCAAACATATTAATTATCTCTGATACTTTGAAAGAAATATTGGAGCGTTACCGAGGGTGTCGGGAACGCATGATAACGTTGGAAAAAGAAAATGAATACTTAAATGAAAGTAATGTGAAACTGAACATACGTATAGAAAAAACTGTAGGAATAAAGGAAAATATGGAGAAGGATTTTTATAGAAAGTTCCTCTTACTCCTGAATTCGAAGAAACAAAGGATCAGAGAGCTTCAGGAAGCTCTGGATAAGAAAACAACAAAAACGGAATATGATGAAACCACTGATGAAAACGAAGGATCGGATGTAGAAGACAAAAGAGTGCAAGAAACTAGCATTAAGTCTACTAATATAAGGAAACGCAAGACGAACTCTCAGGAAGATGAACAGAAAGATAAATCAAACATTAGTAAGAGAAATTTTATGAGATGTACAAATTTCTTTTCTAGTGAAAATTCAAGTCCCGAGCCATCAACTAGTAAAGACAAGTCAATATTGAAAAATGCAGATGTGCAACATATAACGATGGCCACCGAACAGCTTAATACTTCAGAAGAAGAACCTGAAGACGATCTATTTTCTCAATAACAAAAAAGTCTTACATGATATACTTGTTTAATAAAATGTACATATTTTATATATGTCTACATCACACACACATCAATTATATACTGAAATTGAATAATCTAGTCTAATATTTTAATAAGAAAATATATTTTTAATATTTTAAAGGAACAAATTTATCATATATACAATTATGATTTTATAATATATTTCGTTAAATTTGATTGCGTTATATATATATATGACGATCAGCATTATTAATTGTGTATCAATTCTACATACGTATGTGTAATTTTTGCAAATATTGCAACTGTTTCGTTATATATAGCGAATTATATATTTATATACTGATGAAATGTGAGACAGCAATTTACAAAGTATTTTATCTAATGTATAAAAAATTACGAATAATAAAAGTTCTAATAAATATATATTGAATAGAAAGAATTTTCTGAGGCCAATATCCTGCACATATTTTACATTTATTCCACAATGATCAAAGTGACGGTTTTGTAAAAGACTGAAGTCAAGGATCGGGGAAGAGTCGAGGAGTTTGAAAATCACGAGAATCACGAGAAAATCACGATTTTGCGGAGACGGTCCAGAAAAGTAACAACAATTCGGTCATCAAAGATTGCCTATCTGTTAATGTTATCCACAATATTTTACATAAAATATATATTACAATGTTGTTATTAATAAATAACGAACTCGGTAATAGAGTAATATTTCGGCTTATCGTTTCGCTCTAATAATCAATATGCATATATATATATATATATATATATATATATATATATGTGTGTGTATGTATATATGTATTATATGCCAAGATTTACATAATTAAGTACATCATCACGTCCCACAGAGTAGAAATTCAAAATGTGCAATAAAAGCATCAAGCGAATTTGATATAGTTGACATCACTCGACGATTTCATTACAAATATCAATCCTCTCGTCAATCACTACGATAATTGACNTTTTTTTTTTTTTTTTTTTTTAACAGTTAAGTGTGTTCTCTCTCTTCTCTCTATGTGACTGGTAATATTAACGATCACTTCGAAATTGTAACTGATGAGCCGTACGACAGTATCTTGAACGTGTGTACGATACGTAAACATTCGTATCTGCTTCCTCGTGTAGTAGGAATGAATTCCATCGCATTAGTAGGTAAATTTGGAATACGATACGAATGGATATATAATACTTTGGAGCTTTGCTTGGTCGCACGCAAGCATTGTCAGAAGTACGCAGCCCGAACGAATTTCCTAACATATGATACACGAAAAAAACTTATCGTTAACAATGTGTTGTAGACTAGAAAATGGCCAAATGTGAGCTCTTAAATCTACCGAAATCCGCGACGTGAACCTACGAATTCGCGTCCCTACGAAAGACTACGCAACCGTTGAGCCGAACAGAACGAACGTTACGTTCGAACGGAGAGAATAACGATTGTTACAACGTTAAATTATATATATATAATTTCGCAACAAAGTAAATATACATATATACCTCTCTAAAGAGTAAAATAACAATATGAGTAGCTCGATTGAATCACAAAAGTAATGTTGGTTCGGAATGTCGCAAGTGCATGCTCGGTGCTTCAAGCATATACAGCGGAGCCGTCCGACACGCGCATATGCAACGTGCAGACACGGCTCTGATATAGAGATTAGTCACAGTGTGTTTCNCTTTATTCGTTTTCTCCCCCCCCCCCCCCTTTTCGACGTGGAAGAGAGGTGGTGGATCGTCAGAGGTTGGTCTGAACACAGGTTTGAAAGGTAGCAGAAGTTCTCTCTTTTGATTGTAATTGGGATCATTAGAAACGTCCAACTCGCGAATCCCTTTCGAGGGGGTCGCCTCCGTCGCGGTTGTTGCCCTTTCAAACTCGCATTCAGACCGATGTTACTCAGCCGGGCATCTTCCGATTTATCATGGCGCCCAGATCGTGCACGATCTGCTTCTGCTCGCGACTGAACAGCAAAGTTCTGGCGTTTAAAAACGACAGATCCGGCAACTGATTCAGGACCTTCACCGTCTCGGTCTGCACGGCCATTGGCCGCCCGTATCTGTCCACGACCACTTGTTCCGCGCCTTGGGTGTTCTCCTTCCTGCCCGACTTTCTATGATACTCGTGCGCTTTGGACGAGTTATTGCTTACTGGGAACGATTTATTGTTGGTCGACAGAACACTTCTCAATGGCTTGCCGTGCGGATTCTTCTGCCTAGCTCCGAGATCTTGCTCGGACTTCTTCTTCCATTCCACTGTACAAGGCCCTGGTAACGGTTCTATTATCTTGGACGCCTGAGACGATTTCTGTTGTTTCGACGAGCCGCCAGTAAGATCGGACAGGTTTTGCGACTTCACGGGTTGTTGCAGGCTGTTCGCTTCTTGCGAAACTGCATCAGATGAAACTGCACGGCGATGCATGATTAGTAACTGGTATATAATTACTACGCGCAGAAACGATGAAGATGCGTTACTGATGCTCAGAAACACAAGCAGGACTCTACTCGATATCTAACGCTAGCTTTAATTTCATCAGTCGTGAACGAATGTGCAAGGACGAAGGTATTAACAGCTTCGCTGAGAGCACTTACAGTAATAAACGGAGTTCGTCGGGCAAGCTGACTGATGGTAGGATTCGGAATGTGTGGAACAATGAGGTGTTAGTAGAGGATCAAACGGACACAACAAATCCAGAGGCAGAAGAGCGGACAACCCACCACCACCTGTATTGTTAAGTTTTACGACGATTTAGGACGAGATTACGCCTACGACAACTCATCTCTGTATAATGAGATAATAATCGCTCCGGAAATATATTCCGTCACTTTTTAGCAAAACAAGCGCTTCCTTCTCTCAACTACGACACGCACAACATCAAAATCACAATAAATACTTACTAGCATCTAGAGGATTTACAAGACCAGAACTATTCCAATCAAATTGGGCGGCAGGTACTTCCTAATATGACGTCACAATTATTAATTATCATGGAGATCGTGTCTACTCACATGCGCCTTATGGCAATGAAGCTTCAACTTACGTCCGAACAGGCTTGCGTCTTGCTGCTATTGGGTGTGGGAGGCTGCTGAGACTCGGCGTTAGCTTTAATCGGCTCCAACGGCGTGAAGCCGAGATTCGCCGCGAATCTCGGTACGTTCGGATTCCATCTCGGCCCGAACAGCTTCAATTTCACAACGTGAATTATTGTTTCTTCAGTCTCGATAATCGTCAAGTGTAGTGTATAAACTTACAATGTTCCGGGAATCGATACCGAGAGCATTTAGGAGAACATTGTTGCTGCTGCTGTTAGCCCACTGATAGGTGAGAGCGTTGGTCTCCTCCACGCTCTTCACATTCCGCCAAACCTTGTCCGTTTTGCTTATCAGAGACTGCAACTCGACCTCGTGAGGTGCGGGAACGGCGGGATGAAACATGCTCGTCACTATATCCTCTATTTTGTTCGCGGCCTGAAATCAGACGCAGGTCAGGCAGGCACAATCATCGTGTTGCGTATCATCGGAACTCTGTAAGCTGAAGCAATACACTCGCTTCTCTAATCGAACTACCTTACGTCACACAAACACTCCTAAACTCACATTCTTGTTTTCTATCCGACATATAGACTCTTTCAAACTAAACTGTTGCGTCTCTACTACACCGACAGACGTCTCGAAGTCATTGAAGTCTCCAAAATCGTCGTCGTCGGGACGTACTTCCGCGTGGTCGTCGTGCTTCCACTCCGCCGTTGCGCAACTCGAGAAGTTCGCGAAGTCACCGAAATCGTCGTCCTCGCTGCTCACCACCGGCTCGATCAGATTGATGTCGTGAAACTCGCCGTCGCTAAAATACACTACGGGATTCTCGATTTTTTTATACGTGGCACATGCTTCCCCCGCGGTAAGATTAATTTTATCCTTTAAGCATACGTCGAGAGACGCATCGGTAATAGATGGCAGTGAGGCTCTTTCGATCGACGAGAACGACTTTTGTACACGGGACGTGTCATCGTGAATTTGTACTGTTTCGCATTCCTTGTCACCCATGAATTCCGCGAAGTCGGAGTTGTCGTGCGGCGCGAGACCGTTCTCCAGGATGTGATGACGCATGTCCTCCGGTTCAGCAGGAACCTCCTCATTCGCCTCCCGGGCAATTTGATTCGTCCTTTCTTTTGATTGCACGATTGCGTCGCAGAAGTGATTAAGGTCGGCGGATTTTTGAACGTAACTATCCTCGGCGCGCGTATATACGCGGTCCTCCTCTCTCGCGGCGTCATCGCCGAAACGGAAGGAGTCGCTCTTGCTGGACATCACGTCGTACATCTCGATGTATCTCGGCTCGTCGAACACGTCGGTCCTTTCGTCGTGAACAAAAGCGGATTTGTCAACGGTGCCGTTGGCGCCGCCGTCGTTCCACTCGGCGGAGTCCTCGAACTGTTCGTAGTTGTAGAAATCGTCGTCCTCCAGCTGCTGCAGGATGTCCGGCGTGCTCGCGGGATCCTCCAGGTCGAGGCTCGCGGGCTCCACCTCGTCGTCATCGTCGTTCGACCCCTCCCGCTCGCTGATCGTCTTTACGCTATCGGCTAAGCTACTATTGTTGCTACTAATTACATCCGTGTCAACGAAATTATTCTCTTTAGCTAAAACATTCTTGGTACAAACACGATCAATGCTATCGCTAGTCTCAACATTATGCGACTCGCCAGCTAGGTGCCTAGGTGAATCTAACACACCGCGGCGCTCCGTTAAACTAGCGTTCTCGTCCAGCACGCTACTATCGTCCACGCTTCTATCCTTCAATCTTATGCGGCTCACATTCTGGCGATCCTCCGCCTTCTCGACGATAAGCAAGTCCTCACATTTCAAGGCTTGGTTTATCTTGGCGCAATTATCCAATACCAGCGGCTCGTTAATACCGTTTATTCTAGGAGACGCGTTCTGCGATGCTATTGGCGTTTGTATCGGAGTGATAAGCTTCTGTGGGGACTCCGATGAAACTGATAAGCCTACAAACATATAAAAAATTCGACGAATTAGATTCCCGAGACTGCGATACGCAGAAGCGATAATGATGAATTTTTTTTCTCAAAATAGATACCATCTATCCCACCAGCCGTGAAATCTCCAAATTCATCCTCATCGGACTCCCCGAAGTTGTCCAAAGGTGGAGGCGTGGAACTCACTAACGGCGGGAAAGCCATGGTTCTTCCCTTCTACTCTACGACACATCGATGACGATTATTTCTGCCACTTTCTACAAATGTAATTGATGGAAATAGAAAAATAGGCACTAAAGAAGGGACAGGCGGATCGGAAGCGTTATATTCTCGCGCGATTTCATGCAGACAGCCGATCCGACCGAGGAGATGAGTTTTGTCTACGCCGTAGTTCGGTCTGTGCGCTCGTTACATATGTCAAATCGACGGTTTAAGGTTAAGTCGAACGAGCGGAATTTCCGCGACGGAGAACGGGCTCGCGGAAGTTACTCGCCGACGATGCCGGCGTGACGCGTCGATCCACTCGTGGAACGATTTTCCGCGACGAGACACGGACCAACGGTGACGCTTTCGACTGGCTGTCATGTGAACCTTCGTCCTCTCTCACCTGTCTCGGGAGCGCCCGTCGGCACGATTCTACCTTGCGCCCGTCATCTTCTCTTATCACGGCATCGTGCGCGTGTGTGAGTACCACGGGCCTGATATTTATCACGGCGAGATACGTCGGCTATCAGCGATCGTCCGTGAGCGACGATTAAATACACGATGACGGGAGTCATGAGACACAGGTAACCCGTCACCTGTTCCCCGTCGCGCATGGGCGCATGCGCGCCCGACGAGTGGCGCGCACCTGTCAACCACTCGGTTCAAAGTCGTTGACGAGTTTTGCAAAAGAATGCGATAACGCTGGGCGATAGAGAGGTGACGTGACAATGCCTGCGTTCGTCGTAGAAAATAGCTCATTGATGATTAGCGTTTGATGATTCCTGTTTGCATCGAGAATCTCATAAAGGAATGTCACAAACGATTGAGCGTTCATTCGGTTTCTTTCTTCGCTGAATACATCAATTATGATGCACAGTATAGCGTAATGTTTTTAAAATTACATTTTCAGGGTATCTATTCAAATCTGAAAAAGTTCAAACCTAGAAAAAAATCCTCCGATTTTCCAGGTAAGTAATGAAAGTATTTTTAAATATATCTTGCAAACGTGTGTATATATATATATATATATTGTACAAAATTCTTAATATCTTCCACTCATGAAAGTTTATAAAAATAAAATTAACAATCTCTCGAATTTTAATTATTAAATTTGAAAAATTTCGTAAGAAACTGTCTAAAGACTAAAAAAGAAATATTTTATAAAACATTCAAATTTTATTTTTAAATATCACTAACAAAAAAAAACTACAGAATGCATAACCGATATAAAATGCAATTTATATAAATCCACTGAAATAAGTATCTGTCTTAGACAAAATTGCATCTAACACGAAATCGGTATCTTCAATATTGAATATCGGAATAATCAGTGTACTCTAGAGCAATAAAAAAAAAATGCGATTTATTATAAACATAAAAAAATAATATTTAAATATTAAAGAAACTCAAGAACAATCTTTTAAATGTATATATACACAGAATGTTAACAAGTCCGTGCCTACGGTTTACATAGCGCTTCTTCTTATTAATTCAAATTAAAATTAATCGAGAAATCCCGAATTATTTTGCCTATGATTCCTAATAAGGAAAATAACATTCAATCAATCAACCATACAATATTTGCCAACATAATAATACGCAGACAAATGTCCACCGAAAATTTCTTGAGAATTTTTCCAGCCATATACAAATTCCAGGTTTTCAAATTTTTCCCCGAGATTGGACATTATTACGTTCTTACGTCGCATCATTATTCAAATGATCCAATGATACAAACGTGACTACGTCCTACTTAAACGAATACAACGAATGATCAACGCCGGTAAGAGTCACGTCGCGATGATCCGACCGTTGGCTTGCGAGCTGTGCTGGGTGCGCTTGTGCTTCCTCATGTCTCCCTTCTGCCTGAAGCACCTGCCGCACACGTCGCAGGCGTGCGGCTTCTCGCCGGTGTGGATCTTGATGTGATTGTTCAGAGCCTCCGTCCTGGTGAACGCCTTGTCGCAGTAATGACACTTGTACCTGCGATCGCCTCGGTGTATCAGCCTGTGCTGGTAGAAAACCGAGCCGGTGAGGAAGGCCTTGTGGCAGACGTCGCACTTGAACGGCCTCTCCCGCGTGTGCTTCTTCCTGGTGTGATCCGCCAGGTCCGGCTTGATCGTGAAACGTTGGTCGCAGTACTGGCAGGCGTACGGTTTCACGCCCATGTGAAACCTCTTGTGGGTCCACATGTGGCTCGACTGAGTGTAACTTTTGCCGCAGATGTTGCAGACGTACGGCCTCAGCCCGTTGTGCCGCCTCTTGTGAGCGTTGAGGGAATTCGCGGTGGGCAGCAGATTGCCGCAGATGTCGCAGGGAAATTTCGAACACTGGTCCCGGCCGTGCTCCTGTATCCCCTCGCTGCTGTCGAACACGTTGCCGCAGAGCTCGCATAGGAACTTGGCGTCGCCGGACTCGGACAGTCTCGACGTACAGTCGTGCCTCTTCTGCCTGTGCTTGTACAGCAGCGAGAGCTCCTTCATGTCTTTGTTGCAGACGTCGCAGAGGAAGACCACGAGCACCCTGAACAGCCTCGGGTGTTCCTTCCAGTGCAGGATGGCTTCCGCGAACGACCTGTAAGTGGTGTCGCAGGCGTTGCAGATGTACGGTCTCTCGACTACGTGGCGATTCTGATGAGCCTTCAGATTGTCCACCTCGGTGAAGTGGCTGTCGCAGAACTCGCAGTGATAGAGCTTCGACGCGAGCAGCTCCTCGATCAGGGTGACGCTGTTCCGATGGGTCCGGCAGTGAAGGTCGGCGTCGTCGCAGGTGGCGAAGCTCTCGCCGCACTCCAAGCACTTCCACACCGTCTGGCTGCCCTCGATGATGACACAGTGGCCGGCGACGTGCTTGTTCAGCCTCGACTTCTGCGTGAAGCTCTTGGAGCACTGCGAGCACTTGTAGGGCTTCTCCGGCAGATGCGTCACTATATGACGCTTCAGGGTGTAGCCGTCGGAGAAGCCTTTGCTGCATACCTCGCATATGTGCGGCCGATTCTTGCCGTCGGCGCAAACGTGCACCCGCAGCGTCTCCTGATCCTCGAACAGCTTGCCGCACTGCAAGCACGAGACGCTGAGGTCCTTGCAGTGATACCTCTTGTAGTGGTAGAACAGCTTCAGCTCCTTGCCGAAGTTCATCCTGCACTGCTCGCAGTAGAGCGCTCTCGCGTTCTCCCGATGGAACTGCGCGTGAAAGTTCAGCCGTTCCTCGAAGGTGAACGTAGCGTCGCACACGAGACACTTGTACGGCCTCGTGGTGCTCGTAAGCACGTTGGGCTTACACTTGTGACCGTCCAGGGTCTCCTTGGTGTGATAGAGATTCATGCATGCGCCGCATTTCAAGTATCTCTGCTTACTTCCTAGAAATTGCAACAGAACCGCCCGGTTCTCGCTCGCCTCGTCGGCTCTCGCGCTATTGAATCGACACTCTTCGTCGCTACTTTCGACAATTATGTCGCTCTCGTACAATTCCGTATCCTTCGTGCCTTGAAGCGTGTCCTCGCAGATGTTCATGTAGCCCTGCGTGCACAAAGGACAGGACTGCCGATCGGATTGATTCTCGCGATTGGAAACGCTGAAAGATCGTTTCTCTCGCAGCATCGCCAACAGGGTCTCTTCCGCCCTGATGCACTGACTGTCGAACTCGTCGCACCAGTTTACTTTGTCGGCGCAAGTCAAACAGAGCTGCTTCGGTAACGGGTCCGTTTTTCTAATCTGTAATGTGGATCGCAATATATAGTGCACTATATATATATATATATATATGTCGACGAGAGTTGAATGCTTTTGAAGAAAGCATCTTGCTTATACCTTGATACTCAGGCATGTGCTTATTTTGTGCGCCAGCTTCATTGATTCCCCGAGTTCTGAATAAATATATACTGGATTACTGGTTCGACCAGCACACAATCGACAGAAAGCAGTTGAGTTATTTTCTGCTTGGTCTTGTACGGATAATTCCAATATTTCATTGGAAGAAAGCGGCTCCTCCTGAGACCATACGATAGAGCCATCCAAATCGTCAATATCATCTTCATGGTCACTCAAAGTGCTAATTGATTCTGTTTGTAGCATGTTTACTGCTGCAAATCATTCGGAAGATTTCAATATAGTATGTAACGCTTAATTCTTATAGTATATATATATATATATATATACTATATAATTGTTAGAGGAGACATCTGATATTATTTATTTCTTATAAATCATCTACTTGTTAAGTATTATTTCATAAAATTTTCTAATTTTAGTAAATAAATATTGAAATTGCAGTAAAATATTTTGTTTCTATATAATTTTACAAACATCACGTCAACACGTTATATTTATTTTATACACTGTGTGTGTAGACGATTGATGCTGCAGTGAAAAAAATGGAGCAGATTACCTTTTCCTTGAAAAGAACACGAGTATTCAAATATCCTTTCATGGCAATCTCAATATTCTTGCAACAGAAACTTTGGTTCCTACCAGGTTTCAACTTTCTCAATGACTAGCAAACAGATTGGCTAGGCAACTAAAAATAATTGAATATCTCTGTACTGTTTCTAATTTGTTTCCACCATTAATAAAATGACAGCAGATAAGGAGGTTATATAAGTATATATTTGTGAATTTTGTATATATTATACATAAATTTATATTATTTGTACAATGAACTTATTGAAATATTTCACAGAATGATCGCAAAATTATATGCAATATCTTAAAAACGATCGATATTATCTTCCTACAATATTCCATATATCCGCGCGTCTGTATATGTGCGTTATTTTCTATATATTTAATTATTATATATTTGATATATGTAGAATTATATATCATATATACATGTAGTGTAAAAATAATGCGTAATAAAATACTGCATATATATATATGTCTCAATGGTAATATCAACGTTAGTAAATTGTAACTTTCCTATAATCATATTAAATTCTTAATTCTCAATGATTAATCGAACAATAAAGTACAAAATCAAAAAAAAAAAAGAAGCAAAGATCATATTAATTAAGGCGGCGTTATAACATATCTCAAGTCATTTTTTATCCTGCATTCACGCAAACGTTTGCAATGGCGCAGTACAATTAGCAAATTCAGTTTGGTTTTATCGAGTTTAGTTTTTGTCTGCCTGTAATAATCTTCAGCTGTAAAAAAATAGAGGTATCCTACAACAGAAATTGTATCAGTAGAACTTAATATAATATGGATTATACTTGCAAAATGCAATCTCACAATTTCTCTCATTTTGTTTGTAAATATAAGAAATATTAAGAGAAAGAATTTATAGAAGAACTTGCCATTTTCATCCCGAACATCAAATTCCTGTTTTCTATAGTGTAGGTACAGATTAATTTCACCCTTTTTCTGAGCGGCAGCCTTTCCCAATGATAAAATCGCATATTTTGCCATTAAGGTTTGATTTATAGCATTTACCAAGCTATTGATCGTCTCCAAGGATTGTCTTCCAATCATGTATTTGGGTACTTTATTAAATTCTTCAACAGTGATAGGTAACACCGTTAGACATATTTCTGGCTCATTGAAAAGTGTCCTCTTACAATTCATCATTTCTTGTTTTTCGATACAACCGATTCGAGGTGTTTTTTTCCCCGTCAATTTATGGGTTGAATTTATGGTGCAGTCCAACATATCGGGAGAAAAATTGTTTTGAGCGTATGTCTTCTTCTTTTCTGCATTTAGATAACCTTGTATCAATTCTGGCGGGATATTTTTTTCTTGGTGTATAATTTTTTTGTTCAACGTATCAGTTAACGATGTTAACCCCTGTTTATAAGTAAACAATTTTTACTCGGAATTTATTTTAACTTTTCATTCTTTCACTAATAATAGTAAAACTCTATAAGAAATAATTTAACAAACTTACTCTAAGGCGAACATTTTGCTCCTTCATTTTTCCCAAATCCTTTCGCATACCTTCAATGCTATATGAGATTTTTTGTACTTCATTGTACAATTCCTGAAGTTCATCTTTTACACTTTGTTTAGCTATATAAAATAAAACATAATTTTGCAGTGAAACGTCAATATTAGTAAAGGTAGCAGTTAAAGATATACCTTTTATCAATGATGTAGCCACATTGAGTTGATGCAATTTCTTATGCTGTTTATCAAATATTCCTTCCAAAGTATCCTCATGTTTATTTGCACTCATAATTTCAATTGTAGCACAGGTAACTGAACAAATATTTTGTACACATAAAGTATGATAGGCGCCAAAATCTTGCCTATATATTACGTGATGATGATGTATTGAAAGATACATACCTAACCAATGATATTTAACAATGTTATTAGTCGCTTAAATATAAGGCACGTTGTCGCAAAAAAGTTGCGTCGACTGCTGCATCACAATGACGATTTTGTCTTGGTTTTTCTTAAGAGGTGCACTTACAGTGATAAAACGTTTAGAACTTTCTCCGACATAATTTGTTCTAAGAAATCCGTTTTAAATTTGAATTTATGTTGAACAAAGCGACTGGGTTGTCTCACTCTCTTTCCCTCTTTTTATGCCCTAAAGTTGGCTGTTACGTCTAAAGTTGTATTTTCATTTGTTACATGAGTATGCCAATTAGTTGGGGAACTTCGGAAAGATGAGTAAATCCACAAAAGCTATCTGTTAGACAACCAATAAGCATGGTTGACCAATTCATCGAGCGTGGTGTAGACAGGCCTAACGTAAGAGGAAGACAAATTCATCGTGAGAATGGGTGACCTAAGATGTGTGGTGCAGTCAGTGCAGCTAGAAAGAACGAATCTAACAACAACAAATGGAAGAGAAATGGATGTACTGCACGCGATATTCGGGAATTTTTAATATTTCTGAATATATCTAGCATCAACTGATTATTTATTCGTGTTGCATTTATGGATGTGATACTTGGACGTTCTTCTTCCATTACAGCCCCTTCTTTCTCACACATATGGTGCGAACGCAGATTATACCCATGTATACGGGACCTACAGTTTAAATGCTGAACAGCAATTGGAGAGAGGTTTTCACGGCATGAATACTCTTAGTGGTTTGCCAGATCATCGAAGAGGAGCCACGAGCGCATTTTTTCTCCCTCTGCCGGGAACCGAAACCTTTAGTACAATATAAGTAAGAAAATACTGTACAGTATAAGTATTGATAATCTTTACGTAAAAAATTGAAACCTTATTACATATTTATAATCTCAAGTTGTAGTAAAAGCAACTTTTCTATCGTAAGTAAGACATTTTTTTTCTTAATCTAATGGTTGTCCGGACAGATCCAGAATTAGACGCCAGTCAGAAGATAGCAGTGTTACAATAGAAGTTAACTGAGTTGCGGGAGACGTACGACGCTGTGAAAGTTGAACTTGCCACGATAGAACGACGTCGGAAGAAATTACGAAAACTAGAACGAGAAGGTAAATCGTCCCATTTCATCCGTTCCACTATCATCAATTCCATTTTTTCGTATTTAGTGTTAATTATATTTAACAATTCGAATCTTATTTGATAGATTCTGTCACAACGAGAACGATGGAACAATGTTCTCACTTATAATACCAGTCATAAAACAGGTCCTGTATGCATTCCGCAGATATTAAAGATCGACGTTTCCTTGAATTTCAGATGTCATGCATTCTTTTCGAGTAACGTAACTCCTAGTCTTCATTAGATCGCCATTATTCGTCGACTATCGGAGACTCGAAACTCGTGGAACGAGGAGGAAAGATCTGTCGTGAGTAATGTTAATGTTAAACCATTCTGTTTCAGTAGTCAAAGCAGCTAAGGCGATAAGATGGGACAAGCTTGCTCGTGATACAACAATCCTGAAAGATTAGAAATGTTCTTTCCTCGAGCACTAAATGAGGCTCTTTGAGATGTTTGAGATAACTGGAATATCAAAGTAGTGTCACGTAGCGTGCAATCACGGCGACAATTCATGACAATTTTTACCTATGTAACATCGCTTGGTAGGTAATATCTGCCCCTTCACGCACTTCCTCCATTAATATAAAATTGTAGATCTAGTAGTAAAATTTAGTGTAAGGGGAGATACGTTTATCAAGATGAGAGAAAGAGCGTGAAAGAATAAAAGAGACGTATATATACATATATATATATATATATACATATGTGTAATTTATTATATATATTTAAAATTATTCCACACGTTATACTTAAAATCTGTTATACGTATTATTTATTATATTGTGGCTTACAAACGAAGACGAACAGATTAAGATCTCTGTAAAATTTACACACAAGACTCGTTAATATAACATAATTGTACAAACATTCATGTTATTGTACTTTGCACTTATATATTAGGATAATAAGAGACGACTATGTTTTTTTTCTTCTCGATTTAACAAATGTTTGATCGACTTTTAACGTAATGCACCATTTAACGAAAATGCACGATATACAATTATCTGCATTTTCTCCTGTGTTACTCGTCCTGTTGCGGCGAATAATAACAGAAAACTTGAAGGAAAGAAGAAAACAGCGGAAATCATATCAATCGCTAAAAAATACATTGACTCGCTTTGTTTATATGCATCATAAATTAGTCCTCACATTTTAATTTTATGCTCTAATTTTCTAAGACTAAGAAATTTCTACATTATACGATTGTAGTTGCATCGCGATACTATATACTTCATTTATCTTTGTACACCAGTAAGAATTGATGCGTCGAAGGTACAACAGTATCGTTAAACGAGAAAAAGAGGGAAAGAATTAGAGAATATTGTAAAACACATCTTTTAAAGAAAGCACTGTAAGACTCGTAAAATAATATACAAACGTACGTATGACTAAGAGACGACGTATTGAGTACCCGGAGTAACGACGAGAATTATTCTGTCACGAGACAATATGGACATCGTAATGAAATATTCTAAAAAAAAAAAAAAAAAATAAAGAACTTGTAGATTAATGCAAGTACAGATACAAAATTCAAACCTTGCGAATGATTTCGGACTTGTTCGCGTTTTTACATCTAATAACCTTTTTAAAATTTAGTCGTTGACATTTGACTTGATATTTATTGCTGCATGCCTTTGCGTCCTATAAGACGCTGATTTGTTGAACAATGAAATTAACACACCAATAGAATTCTTTTAACGCGTCTCGAAACGCGCGCATTTTGCGTTAAATATTTGTTTGTAGTTTTTTTCGACAACTAATCGGTGAAAAATAGATTGTCGTGTTCCGTTCAATTACGAATCTCAATTCAATGTCCGACGCGATTCTCAGAACGCACGCGGAAATTACGCCGAGTTACTGCCAGATACCCGATAATGTCTCGAACATGAACATGCATCCGATTATTTCAATAGTATTGCGCTTGCCCAAAACAGTTCGCATCAAAAGTATACATACTTTGTTGCAAACTACCGACCACGCAGGTCAGCGAGAAAGATCAATGCGACATTACATGATTTCTTGTATAAATCAACGAAAGAGGCTGCCTTTATCGCCTACATATGCAAGCGCACACCTCGTTGAAGCTATCTCGATATATGGTCAATGTTTTTCTCCAAGGCAAGAGAGAGTGTGCACTGACATGATGCAGCCTTCATCAAACCTCACTAATACCATGAAAGAATACTCAGTCTTGCTGAAACGAATGTGCAATGTCACGTGAAAACATTGTGTTATGTGTAGAAAATATAGAATTTGACATTATTTTACTTTGATCCTGTCGTGACTCTTTATCTTTACACGCCTCACTTATCGCTCACCGGCTTAGGGGGCTAAATGAAATGGGAAATTATGCAGGGATTATCCGATCTCGGTGAATGGCGCATTGAGCGAAAAGGGTTTTGCTATCTTCCATTGCACATGTCAACACGGGGGTGGGCTCGATGTCGGGGCTGTCGTCGTGGAAGTCGTCGTGGAGGATGACGCCACCGTGGTAGTCTTATTGTCCGTGTTTAATCTCCGTCTGGCGAACATAAACTGTTCCATTAGTTCGTGATGCGCCTCTAACCGTTCGATGCAGTGTAAGCACGCAGTCTTAGGCAATGGGTCGTTTATGTTCACCTGCAAAGCACGAACGCACAATGTGTCACTGAGACGGGACGTTTCAAACGATATCCATAAACATCGGAGGAGAATGACGTTTTCTTACGGGATGTGGCCTAGACTTTTTTGCAAGATACATTGGAAAGTGAGTGATTAAACCGAAGGAGACGCGTTACCCTGTGCTCTTTGAAATCGTCTCTTTGACCAAACCGTGAAAAATCAGCCAAGTCTCGTCCCCGAGCGTTTACTACGCGTATAGAATTTACCGTAATCGGCAGGTAAGCGTTTATCTTCTCGGCCAATTTCATCCTCTCGCCCTCCTCGCCGTAGATGTGGATCACGAAGCGGTTCATCTTGCTGCAGAGTCTGCATATGAACCCCGTGATCACGGCCTTGTCCGTACTGCCCATCTCTCCGTTTGCAAAGAGGATGTGTGTTTCTCGTCTTTCTCAGCTGACCGCCACTTGTGCTCTTGCAAAACTCCGATTCGACGGTTTGACAGCGCACGACCACTCTGCTGCTTCGGCTGCCCGATTTCCTCGAGTTTGTTTATTGCAGACTCCGCCGTGTGCACCAGCGCGCTCCGTGCGACACTCCGTTCAGGAATGTACGCACCACTCGCCGCGCCCACTTCGGTAAGGTGCTTTTTTTTTTTTTTTCTTAATACGAATCTGGAAAAATGACTGTTTTTCAAGAACGTACTCCGCGTCGGAGACGAGGGAGAAAAGATTATTCCAATAATCGCGCGTTTCCCTCTTCCCCCCTCACCGCTCGCTCGCTTTCTCCCGTCGTGAATCTCGTTAAAAATCGCCTCGACGACGTTCAAACGCTGGCCTTTTCGTCGGCGCGATACCGCACGATACTGACGGTGAATTATCGTGCGTGAGCAATTCGCGCGAGTTTAGATAACCTTTTATTGACGTCGGGAATTCTCGCGCGATCTCAGCCGTCCGTGACGTACAATCCTGGCGATACGCGACTGAAAGCTGATGCCTACCCGGCCGTTCGAAAGAATCAGCTGTCGCGCGTCTGTCAACGGCGGATGTACACGAGCGCATACATTTTCTCTCAAGAAATATCGCTTTCTTGGCTCACCTTGCGGCTCGATCGATTCGCCAGACCAATAGATGCGCGTTGCGCTAATGCACGACACGCTTCTCCGAAATCGTAAATAACATGCAATCGCGAGAGAACGACGGATATAAAATTGACAAAACATACGCCTCGCAGTTTTTCTATGCGCTACTCCATCCGTCTTATCGACAGATATGCCCTCGATCGCTCGATCCTGCTCGATCGACTTTCGTCGGTCGGAAGAAAAGAGGACGGCGAGAATGCCGAGATTCGTTCGTGTTAGCTGCACTCTTCGCACTTGAAAGTGAGAAACAGGTTAAGTCTCCCCGATGTTTAGAAGGCGTAACAGTCCGCTCATTCTCGTTCGTACGTTGCCCCCTTCCTGCGCTTACGATATCTCAACGAGCTTATATTTGGCATTCTTAACGAGAAGGAGGGAAGGGAGAACAAGTACAGGGAGTGCAACTGAAGAGGACAGCTCGTGGGTGCAGAGGGTGCAACCGAAGGAACAAATCCATAATCCCGCGATGAAGTGAAATTTCCGCTTCCGGGAAGGAGAGAGAGAGGAGTGAAAACGAGGAGATTTTTAAATCACGACGCGATTCAACATGGTGGCGATCAGCTGTCTTCTGTCACAATGATGTTCATATCGACGAGCGCGAGCGTATTATCTCGGCTGGTCGCGTAGTGCGCGCGCTGCCGCTGATCAGGATCGGGCCGCGGCCGCTCTCAAATTCGGCGCGTTCAGTGCTCCTGCCGATCGTCGCCCCGGGATTCGCGTCTTCCGGTGCTGACGCGTGCGACGGGACGCGCTCGCTCATTCGCACGCCCGTGGTGAGAGCGCGACGAGTGGACGCGCAGCCTATCGCACAAAAGCAATATGGTGACTGACCGACTGATCGGCTGTCGGGGGTGATCCGAGCGCACCGTTCGCGGGGAATGTTTAATAATATTGTCATTGTTAGCCGTGTGCGTCGGTGAGCGCGAGTGATGAACTTGACGTGATCCGCAGCCTCCTCCAAGGCTAAAGAACGTGGGAACCATGTGCGATGTGTGCGTCGACTTTCACGATCTTCTGCTCTCCTGTAAGCAACGCTGCTGCACAGTGTATATACACAGTAGCTCCCGTCCGTTTCTTAACCTCTACCGAGGCTCGCGCGCCCAGACCGATCGCGGCCGAATTTCCCACGAGAAGGCACCGACGCCCGGGGAGGCCCGAAACTTCGAGAAATGCCGAGACGCGAGTCACGTGCCGGAAAGATTTTATAACCTTAACCGACCGGACTTTAACGAAATTCAAACTCGGCTGTTTTATTGAATAAATGCGCTCGCGTTGTTTCGCGGCAGATGGTTCGTTACCTCGCGTCAGCTATTTCGCTCCATTCTTCGATCGCGATTCTGTTAGACTCCTTGCTCTCCCAACGATGCTTCTCGTTTCCCCCGTAGTGATTACTACGCCTGTATATCATTGGGATCATTCTCCACCAGAGAGACCGCGTTCAATGTGTTCCGAAGCACTAACTGCGATATCTTGAAGTGTTATTATGTCATAAAATGTTATTGAATACAAAAGTATATGGAGAAAAGAAGGATACATGGAACTTGTATGTGTGATTTCATATCAGTTACGCTTGCGCATTATTCTTGCAGATGACGAACGTTCGTCAAAGGAACAAGATGCGTTGGCCACATTATGCGTAACAGACGTGGACACGACATTGCATTATGTCAATCAATGGATTCAGAGGTACATTAACTCATCCGATATACTCGTATACTATGCGCTCTCTGCTCAAAATATACTTCTCATAATGATCTTCTTCCAGACAATGTATGTGCTGTTATCGCGAAATTAAGAATTTCGATCGATTTATAAGGCTAATCCAGAGCGTCGTACTCTGTACGTTACAACAGTTGCAAGCTATACAGCAAAATGGGCAGCAAACAAATGTCGCTAAGGAGATCTCCGAGGAGGGGAAGGAGGAGGATGAAGATACGAGCGATAAGCGAAAGTCGAGTGACGCTGCGGAGCATGCACAGGTGGAAGTCCAGACGAAGCAAACCTGGTCCCAGCAGGACAGAGAGAAACTGTTTCATCTCCTCTCGAAGGTCCTGGTGCTGAATTTTCCCCTCTATCTAGCCATGAAGCACGGCGGTGTAATTAACCCGTTGGCTCCCGTCAAGGTGGGGACAACTTTGATGAACAGTGTATTATCTGATCCGTATAAAATTAATATATCACACGACAGGACGAAGGCGGTTACTGCGAGCCACACGACCCCGAGGTGCCGGCGCCGTTGATCCGTGCGGTATCCATCTTTTGCCACCAGGGTGGCTTCAATCTGATGTCCGCCTGCTTCGATACGGAGAACACACTGCCCGTTAGTCTCGCGCACGCCATGGTAGCGGTAGTTTGTAATTTGAAGCTCTGGCTGAACTACGGCAGCGTCATCCAGTTGTTCATACCGTTGCGTAGCCGCGTCATGAAGTACATGTGCCGTCTGGGCGACAAGGAACTGCGTACTCCAGCCGTCAGAACCATGGCTGGTACGTTACCGACAGAAGCGATCATGCTCGGACGTTTCCTTTGTTGATTTTCGCGCGCGTTTAGATTTCATGTGGAGCGCGGTGAAGGATCCGATAGACGCCGTATTACCGAGCTTCGATCGGGACGGGCTCGATCTGGCGTTCAAGTACTTCACCAGCACGACGTTGACCATGAGGCTGGCCGGTGTGGCCCAGATAAACGCCCACATCACCGCGTCCAACGAGCTCTGCAACAGCGAGACCGTCGCCGAGGTGGAGCAAGTGGGGCACGCGCTCGCCGCATGGTTGACCGAGAACAACATCATAGCCCACATATTCGGACCGAACCTGCACGTGGAGGTGATCAAGCAGAGCCACATTATACTGAGCTTCCTGGCGATGGAAGGCAGAATCACATCCTCGGACATGGACACCATGTGGCAGGCAGCGCAGCTCAAGCACTGCGGCCGTCCGGTTTACGACCTGCTGGCGCCACTGGTCAAACATCTCGCGCCCACCCCCGTACTCCATTTGTATTCTTTGTTAGGTAAATTAGAACCTAAGGACCACACGGAGCAGAGTCTGTTCTTAGCGTCGGCTTTGATCAAGTTCATTTGGACGTCCGGCGGCTCGGTAGCGGCTTGTCCGAGAAGTATGGTGATGAAGAACAGAGAGATTCTCAGGAATACCGGCGGAGTCGGTAGCAGTAGCAGCGACCCGAGCGGAATGGACGCCAGCAGTCCTGAAGACGACGAGGAGGAGGAGCCGAGTCCGATACCGTCCGAAGGACCGTCGCCTAGGAAGCAAGCGAGAGCTGACAGCAGCGATGGGGAAGGTATTATTTAGTATATAATAATGATCAGTTTCGGAAAAGTCTACATATTCGAATGTTGCACGCAGGACACTACAAAGGGAAATCGTTGACGACGACGACCGTTGAGTCGAGCCCGGCTGAGATCGAAGGCCTCCACTCGGACAAGTCCGAGGGCAACGGTGAATCGGTGAAGGATCACTCATCGAACGTGATTCAGGAGGAGACGAAGAACAAGCAAAGCGGCTCCGACGCCGAAGCGGACACCGAGAAGTCCAACACGGAGGAGGCGTTCGTGCACGAGAAGAAGAAGCGGAAGATCCTGCGCAAGCGGAAGAGGCCGCCGCGTTCGTTGAACGCCGTCGAGAAGACCTTGGAGGAGATCGTCGGTCAAGACGTCGCGAAGAGCAACCCGTCGAACGGCAGCTTGCACGCGGCGGGCGAGGAGCCGAAGGGCGTGGACGCGTTAGACCGCGTGAAGCAACAGGCGATGGCCCTGGACCCGAGCGACCAGCAAGTTCCCACCACGGCGGCGCTCCTGAGACGCGCCAACAAGAACAAGTACATGCCGTCCCTGGTGGGCTACAACGGGATAGATCGAGCGGCGGCCGACTCGGCGGACAGTTCGCACGACGAGGACGACAGCGACGTGGCCGGTGTGCTCGCCGCCGCGGACGGCCCCGGCGCGGTGATATCCGAGCTCGCCGGTTTGGTGCACGCGACCGGCCCCACGTTCTTACCCTCCGGCCTGGACGAGATGCTGTCGGACGAGGAGGGCTCGTACAGCAGCCGGATATCGAACAAGAGCGAGAAGAACATGGCCGACTTCGACGGCGAGGAGAGCGGCTGCGAGGAGGAGCTCGCACAGTTGGCCGCGCGTCACCTCACCGCCATACAGATGCAGGCTTACCACCCGCACCATTCCACCATGACGATCAGAAGAACGGTCTGCCAGCCGCCGCAGGTGCGAACGATCCGGCAATCGGCCACGAGGCTGAGCTCGCAGTTCAACACGGAGACGGTCTGCAAGCCCGGCAACACGTTGCTGTGGGACCTGCTTCAGGACGATAAGATAGGACAGTTGGGCGAGGGCCTGGCCTCCGAGGCGGAGAAAGCGCTCTGCAATCTGCTCTGCTTCACCGTCGACCGCATCATCCCGGAGAAATTCGTGGAGGGCTGCCTGGAGAATCTGGCGACGAACCGCTCGGTGGTCGTGTCGCTGAGACTGTTGCCGAAGCTGTTCGCGAGCTTCCAGCAGGCCGGCTCGGACCCGCACAAGATAATGCTCAGGGCCAACAACGAGTACGGGATGATGAAGCACTTCTTCAACAATCTGAAGGCCTACATGAGCACGGGACCGAGGAGCAATCTGTACTCGCACCAGACGGAGATCCAGGTCAGGCTGCAATTCCTTTCCTCCATCTTCTCGCCGTTGGGCTCGCCGGACACCTTCCGCCTCAGTCTCGAACAGGTGGACATACTGTGGCAGTGCCTGTCGCAGGATCCGACCTGCGCGGACGAGCTCTTCAGCTGGCTGCTCAGCCAGGCGAAGTCCACGGACCAGCATGCCCTGGGAATGGACACCCTGAAGCACCTCTGTATGCGCAAGCTGCCGAGCCTGCCGGCGGAGACCATCAGTATGACGGGGCTGAGCCTGTTTCAGCAATTGTGCAACCTGGCGCGCCTGGCCGCCACGCAGTACAACGGCCTGCCGGAAGTGGACTCGGTGGGCATGGACTTCTTGTGGCGGATCGCGCTCAAGGCGAAGAGCACGGACGTCAGCATGGCGGCGATACAGTACATCAACGCGTTCTACATGTCGCAGCATCTCAGAATGGAGGCGGAATTCGTGTCGCAGTGTATGACGCATCTCGCGGCGGCCAGCGCCGACCTCGAGACGAACGAGGAGGCGAGTCTACGCTGCATACAGCGCGCCCTGCTCCTGCTGAGGACGCATCTGGAAGCCTTCCGTAAACGTTACGCCTACCACCTGCGCCGTTGGATGCTGGAGGGCAGAGGCGCCGGCAGCTACGTCGCCATGAACACCTCCGACAAGGGCCAGCAGCTGCGGATTTTCGTCCAGCCGGCCGGCATACCGGAGAAGATGAGCTTCATCCTCCTGAACACCGACTATGTGGCCGACCTGAGGGCCGAGGTGGCCAAATGGTGGGACGACACGCAGAACGCCCAGAGCAGCGCGTCCCCTCAGGCCCGAGCGCCGAACAGCGGCTCGGTTTTGGGATCGTTGCTCACCGACGGCCCGATCAGGATGATCACCCAAGGACAGGAGCTGACGATCGACTTCGACGAGAAGACGCTGCAGGAGATGGGCTTCAAGGACGGCCAGCTGGTGTTCATTTCACCCGGCGCCAGCAGGGGCGCGAGCCGCTGCGGCAAGTTAACGCGGGAAGCGGAATCGCCCTCGATGATACCGGCCCCGTCGACCGACTCTCTGCCGACGTTGCTGCTGCTGCAGCCGCAGTACTTCGAGCAGCTGTTCACGCTGATGAGGACCCTCAGCGCCATGAGGAGCACCGTGAAGGGCGGCCAGGAGATCCCGCACACGAAGGCCCAGGTGCTCTCGCGCCGAGTCTGGGACACGCTGACCCTCCTGCCGACGAGTCCGACCTTGCTGCGGGGTTTCCAGAAACTCGGCGAGACGTCCCTTCAGGAACTGTTCGACCCGGCGAGCCCGCAGAAGCTGATGTACTCTTTGTACATAGTCGAGTCCCTGAGCCGACGCGGCGCGACGAATCAGCCGGCGACTAGCAACAACGTGTCGCACGACGGCGGCGGTGACGCGGACGACAATCACGACCACCACCCGGTCGACTGGTCCGCGCTGTTCGTGCAACACGGCGGACTGCGGCACCTCTTCGACATCTTCATGTCGGGCTGCCTGGAGCAAGGGGACGGCAGCGAGTGGCAGCAAGACTGCCTCGCCAGTCTGCTGAAGCAGCTGTGCCATCTCGGGGTCGCGAGGGAGGACAAGAAGCGCCAGAAGCCGGACAAGCTGCTGGTGCCGAAGCTGAGCGAGGCGATGCTGCGAATGATGAACGTCGACACGGTGATGTCGCGGATAACCAGCATCCTGAACGACGCCTCGTCGCCGCTCGACCCGAATCACTACAAGACCGGGCTCTTCGGCCGTTCGCAGGTGATACACTACGCGATGGCGTTGCTGGTCTGCTGGGTGCACAGCGACCCGGCGGTCAGGCAGCAGTACCTCTTCTCCGTCGAGCCGTTCGGCAAGACCTGGCTGCGCCGGCTGGTCCTGGAGGACCCCGAGCCGGCGGTGAGGCGCGAGGTCTGCACGGGTTTGTACAAGCTGTGCCTGGGCACCACCGGCGCGGACGACGACGCGACGGACGTGCCGGGCCTGTTGGTGCCCATGCTGAACACCCTGCTGGAACATCTCGTGATCGCCGAGGCGATGCAGCCGTCCCACCGCAAGCCGGATCTGCACCTGCATCCCGTGTTGGACGACGGCAAGGAGCCGTACGGGCCGGCTTGCCGGGACTTCTTCTGGCTGCTGTGCCGCCTGGTGGACTCGCTGCCGAAGACGGACGACTCGACGAACGCCAGCAGCATCGACCTGGAGACGTTGGCGATACGAGTGATCGACTCCGTGCTCAACCGGGAGCACCTGGAGACGCGGCACAACACGGTGGAGGACGACGCGCTGGTCGGCCTGCTGAATCTCACGTGCAACATCATGGCGCACAACCCGCCCTGCAAGCAGGGCAAGATCGGCCAGAATCTGTTGGACGAGGTGTTCGACTTCCTGTTCGCGCTGCCGAATCCGCGCAGCAAGCACGTGCCGAAGTGCAAGAGCCAGGTGTCGAGGTCGGCCGCCTTCGATCTGCTGGTCGAGCTGGTGAAATTCGCGCCCGGCAACTACAGGATACTGCACGAGAAGCTACTGGCGCAGCACCGTCCCGGGCCGCACTCGCCTTACCCGTGGGATTACTGGCCTCACGAGGACGGACGGTCCGACTGCGGCTACGTCGGCCTCACCAACCTGGGCGCGACCTGCTACATGGCGAGCTGCATGCAGCATCTCTACATGATGCCGCAGGCGCGCGTCTCCATCCTGGGCGCCGACTGCAATCGCGCGAACAAGCACCAGCTGACGCTGCGGGAGCTGCAGCGGATGTTCGCTTACCTGCTGGAGTCCGAGAGGAAGGCGTACAATCCGAGGAGCTTCTGCCGCGTGTACACGATGAACCACGAGCCGCTCAACACCGGCGAGCAGAAGGACATGGCGGAATTCTTCATCGACCTCGTCTCCAAGCTGGAGGAGATGACGTCCGATCTGAAGAACCTCGTCAAGACGCTGTTCTGCGGCGTGATATCCAACAACGTCGTGTCCCTCGACTGCGAGCACGTCAGCAGAACGCTGGAGGAGTTTTACACGGTGCGATGCCAAGTGGCGGACATGAGGAACCTATACGAGAGCTTGGACGAGGTGACGGTCAAGGACACGCTGGAGGGCGACAACATGTACACCTGCTCGCAGTGCGGCAAGAAGGCGCGCGCCGAGAAACGCGCCTGCTTCAAGAAGCTGCCGCACATACTGTGCTTCAACACGATGCGCTACACCTTCAACATGGGCACGATGCTGAAGGAGAAGGTGAACACGCACTTCAGCTTCCCGCTGCGGCTGGACATGTCCGGCTACGTCGAGAAGAAGCTGATGCCGCAGCACTGTCAGGAGGACGAGAGGAAGAAGCGCGACGCCTTGCTGGCGGACGACGCGGAGGAGGAGATGGAACATTACCTCTACGACCTGATCGGCGTGACGGTTCACACCGGCACGGCGGACGGTGGGCATTATTACAGCTTCATCAGGGACCGCACGTCCCCGAACAAGGACAAGTGGTTCCTGTTCAACGACGCCGAGGTCAAGCCGTTCGATCCGAATCAGATCGCGGCGGAGTGCTTCGGCGGCGAGATGACCAGCAAAACTTACGACTCGGTAACGGACAAGTTCATGGATTTCAGCTTCGAGAAGACCAACTCGGCGTACATGCTGTTTTACGAGTGGTGCGCCGAGCCCGGCGAGCAGGCGAAGGAGGAGGAGGCCACGGTCTCGAGCCCCACCGCCGTCAGCGGCCGCTCCTCCGCGTTGATGCGCAAGGACGTGAACATGAAGCTGCCGCCGTTGGAGCTCAGCAAGGAGCTCGAGGACTGGATCTGGCAGGACAACACGCACTTCCTGCAGGACAAGAACATCTTCGAGCACACGTACTTCGCGTTCATGTGGCAGATCTGCGGCTACATACCGCAGACCCTGCTCTCGGTGCAGCCGGACATCACGGAGATGTCGGCGGAGCTGTCCACGTCCTTCTTCATGGAGACGTTCATACACGCCAAGGAGAAGCCGACGATGGTGCAGTGGGTGGAGCTGCTGACGAAACAGTTCAACGCCTCGGCCGGCGCCTGCGCCCGCTTCCTCGAGCGCATGGCCGGCGACTCCTGGTGGCCTATTCAGATTCTAGTCAAGTGTCCTAATCAGATGGTCAGGCAGATGTTTCAACGGCTGTGCATCCACGTGATTCAACGACTGCGCGCTACTCAAGCACCCCTGTACCTTCTCTGCGACGAGGAGAGCGACGCGAACACCGTCGGCACCCGATCCTGCGTCACCAGATTCGTCCGCATGCTGCTGTCGCTGATGGAGCATGCGAAGCAGCATCTCAAGCACCTCACGGAGTACTTCAGCTTCCTCTACGAGTTCAGCAAGATGGGCGAGGAGGAGACCGTTTTCCTCATCCGCGTTCAGGCGATCTCCACGATGGTGAACTTCTATCTCGGCCACAAGACTCACGAGTTCGTCGACGCGGTCAGCGAGGAGGAGGAGGAGGAGGAAATCGTGACTGTGCCCACGGAGAAGCTCCGTTCCGCCTCGTTGGACAAGATGATCACGCTGATAGCGACATTGGTCGAGCGCAGCAGAGGGCCTGATCACAGGCTGGCGTTGTCGCCGGCCGACCTCAGCGCCGTAGCCGGCGGCAAGGGTTTCCCCTTCTTGTACCAGCAGACGCGGGACCTCATCAATCTCGGCCAGACCAGGAACCTCATACAGTCGTTGTGCCGGTGGAACGACCGGCTGGCGATACACGTGGTCACGATGATATTCCAGGCGATAATGAAGCACACCGACATGTGCCAGCCGTTTTTCAAGCTGCTGACCTTGCTGACCGAGAGCTCCGGGCCGAGCGGTCTGCCCTGCATGACCCAGCTGATCCTCAGCAGGGTCTGGGAAGCGGCGAGGGTCGCCCCGCACGGCGCCCTCGAATGGCTGGCCCTCGCGGTCACGAGAAGCAAGCTGGCGCACGCCTGGGTGCTGCAGGGCCTCGACACGTGGCTCCAGCACTTCCTCCTCGAGCACTCCAATCAGAGAGTTCGTTCGGCCGCTGCTTTCCTCCTGGTGTCGTTAGTACCGTCTACGCATTTCCGGCAAGGCTACCGTAGCGCGCACCGCCTCGGTCTCGGCTGCAACGCCTCCAGGGAGCTTCAACTGTCGCCGGAAGCCACTCTGATACTGCATCAGATCTACACGGCGCTTCTGAGGCTGCTGCAACCCGCGAGACATTACATCGACATACAAACTCATGGTACAATGAAGCTCACTGCCTATTTCGCATTGCTCACATACTGCGTAGTCTCTAAGACCGAAAAATTAATGGTGGGTAAACTATATATATATATATATACACACATACACTTAATGATGTACCCTCTCTGACACACCCCCCTTTCCCCTTGCAGTTCGGCCAGTATCTTAACGATCTGTGGACCCTCTTCCATCCGAAGCTCTCGGAACCGAGCATTCCGGTGCACCATAACAAGCAAGCGGTACTCCTGTTCTGGTACCACGTTTGCTCCAATTGCCCGGAGAACGTCGCCATGATACTCCACAATCCGCACATCACGAAGAACATTGCATTTAACTACATACTGTGAGTCGTATTTTATTTTCTTCCAGCGCTTTGCAGGACATCGAGTGACAAATGTAATGCTTTCGATTAGAGCCGATCACGAGGACCAGGATGTCGTGCTGTTCAACAGAGTCATGTTACCCGCTTATTACGGCCTCTTGAGGCTTTGCTGTCAACAATCGCGCACCTTCACGAGGCAACTGGCCGCGCATCAGAATATCCAATGGGCTTTCAAGAACATCACACCTCATCCTACTCAGTATTCAACTGTGAGTTCGTACTTGTTGCCTACTACACATGTGAGTGCGCTGCAACGTGTCTTTCCTTTGCGCAGGCGGTGGACGAATTGTTCAAACTTATGCAGTTGTTAGTTCAGAGGAATCCCGATCAGACCGAACAAGAGGAGGCGGAGATCACATCATTCAGAAGAGGCACATTGTCCTCTTATCTGCAGGGGCTGGATGGCCGTTCGTGTTGGGCGACTCTCATCTCTGCTTTTCGGTATATATATGTATATCAGAGAATTATATCAACACTGATGATCTATCATATCGTATGTGTCGTTGTATGTATCTCGTTCGCTACCTATTCTTTTATATAGAATATCTCCAAATTAGGCCGACAAACGGGGAATGTAAGGTCTAATTTCGGCATATTTTACAACGTATTGTCTGGTGAATTAATGCGCGAAATTTCTTACAGAATTCTCATCGAGTCGGACGACGATCGTTTATACGTTGTTTACAACGGCGGCCTAAGCATGGCCCTAGAAGCGTTTCATATGCTGCATATCATGTACCACGAGGCTACGGCGTGTCACGTTGCCGGCGACCTGGCCGAACTGATCGCCATCATCGTGGAGCTGGTACGCTGTATACGAACCGCCCGGGACGGGCCGGATGCGAGGAACATCCTGGCGAATTGCAAGGAGTGGCCGGACGTGTTGCGCAAACTGGCAACGTTGTTGAACACGTATAATCCGCCGGACATGAGGAACCTCGCCATCGACCTGCTGAAGGAGCTCGTGATGCTCGTCCCCGCGGAAGCGATACTGATCTTAGCGCCGTTACTCTCACACTGCCACGCAGCTCTTCAGGAGTCCCACGCCGCAGTCCCGCCCGGCCCGTACCTGCCGCGAAGATCCACCCCGCCCGGAAAGATGCCGACGAGACCCGCCAGGCCGATGGTGCAGATGGCGGTGCCTCATTCGCAGCTCGAGGCGTCGAAGGGAGTGGATCCGGAATACGATAGCGCGTTGCTCGAGTTTTACCTACCTTATCACGAGCTCATAGACGTCATGTGCAGATTAGCGATCAACAATGACTGTATGACAGATACGCTGGTGAATCTAAGTGCTATGCTCGGTTTCGAGGGTGAGTAAACTGCATCGGGAGGAGGAAGCGCGCGGATATTCATTTCGCGCCCCCGTTGCAGGTGTCCCGTTGCACTTGGCCCTGTTCCCTAGGCTGTGGCTGGACGTTCACGCGACCGCGCACATAGACAGGAAGCACATAGCGTCTCTCCTGTGCTCCTCCTACACGGTGGACTACGTGGACGCGGTGTTGTTGGACGAGAGATCGTCGCTCGGGGTGCCGGCGATACACGCCTTCCTCAAGACTTTCTTCCCGAAGCTGGCCAGCCACGTGCTGACCGAGCAGACGTGCCTGCTCATCGACAACCTGGTCAGCTCGATGACGGCGATGGTGGAGGCGGTGGACATCGAGGCCTCCGCGCAGAGGCTTACCGGCGACCTGCGCGCCTTGACGCTCGTATACAGCAGCAGCGCGAGACTGAAGCCACCCGCCACCCTGTTGCCGGCATTGGAAACTCTGTTGTCGCGCACACGGACTGTCACGGTGAAGAAGAGCGGCTCACCGGACGGCGAGGCACCCGCTAAGAAGCGCAAGCTCGTCAGTGACGACAGCGAACCGGCCGACAAGGATCTGCGCGTCGTGAAGGACGTCGGTATGGAGAACAGCCTGTCGACGGAGGCGGAGGAGAAGGCGGACGTGATGAAGCACGGCGCGATGTCGTCCGAGTCCGGCGACGACAACAAGGCCGCCGCCGCCGCCGCCGCCGCCCGGCAAAAGTCGGGCAACGTTCAGACGGAGGCGATCGCCGGCGGCATCAGCAACGTACCGTCGAGCTTGGTCAGCACCGCGAACGCTTGTACAAATCAATTGCGCTGCACGTTGACCAACGTCTCGTGGCTCGAGATGCTCGAGAGCACCATCGTCGACCTGCAGATGATCGTGCAAGTGCAGAGCAAGAGTAATTAATTCTCATCCGCGGATTCGAACGAACAGGCAGATGGAATATATATACATATATATATATATATATATGTATATGTATGTATGTATGATGATGAGAGGGGGATGCGACGTTGTTGTCCCTCACCGTGTGTATGCGCGTGTGTTGAGTCGTATGCGTGTGTCCGTCTGTATGATCTTGCGTCGATTTAGAAAGAGTTTATGTAACAACGTGAATTCACGCTCCTTCGCAAAAATCGGATGTAACTTAGTATGTAACGAGATGTCGCGAGGAAGGGAAAAAAGTGTATGTCACCGATTGTTTACTTTCCAAATATAGGAGAATATAAAAGTATTTTCGTTACGGTTTAAGTTACGTTATATNAAAAAAAAAAAAAAAAAAAGAGGAAGGTGGGTCGTGTGTATCCGGACTGAGTAATATTTTCACCCGATAAACATTGAGATTTGACTTGTCTCTCTTTCCGGGCGAACCGTGATGCGCGCATTCGAACGTGTGCAATAAATAACGTAAACCATCCAGTATTCAAAAGAACGCGATTGTGCAAGGTATATTAAGTCTTAAGGTACTCTTCAAACGCTATCGAGGGCAACCTTCGTTGACGACATTGCAAAAAAATTGTTTCTACGATTTCGCGCTACACTCGCGCGCGTGTCTGTCTTCTGTGCGTCTGACCGTCTGACTGACTGCTGTGCGTGCAGCACGTGAGTGAGTGAGTGAATGCGGGTGTAAGTACATGTGAAAGGGATCTCACAGGGTTTTTTCGAAAAAAAAGAGGAGCAAAAATCGCTGTACGAAATCGTCCGTTGAAATGTCCGTTACGCTCGCGTGTGTGTGTGTGAGTGTGCGTTCATGTCACACCTCACTATATGTTTCGACGTGTATTTTCCATTGTTCTCTTGCGTTTCGCGAGCCACGTTATTTCGAGGACCGAACGATCTGTCAGGTTTCACCCTGCGTGATGTCTCCGAACTGGTGGAAATTTCGCTTTCAGAATTTGTAAAAAGAAAATGAAGCAGATGGACGTTACCTAGTTCGTTTCTCTTGAAGATCATCGTTGGGCGAGAGAAAGAGAGAGAGGGTAATCTATCGATACGCACGAGTGTGATTCCGATTCGTAGTTGAACCTTTTAATTTCTACGATGATTTCTCATAGGTTCTTAGGTTCTTAGTGAAGTAATATAGCGTAGGATTATATACGATTAATATAAAATCCACTAGAGCGTATATTTATTTATTTTCGACTACCGATGCGCGCTGTTGATTCTTGCGACGGGCCGAGGAGTGCACCTCTCGATCACGCGCCGCTTCGTCTCTCCTATCTGCTTGTCACGCGATATTGTATCGTCGTGTCCCACCGCGACTCTTTCAGATCGCTACACGTATCTTACATCACGATCGTAAGTGCGAGTGACTCGCGGGAAGCGCCGACATATCTCTCGACTCCTGCGAACCTTGCGAGAATGTACCTGCGCCGCGGATTTGTTCTCCCTTCCCTCCCGATCCGTCGATCTTCGTCGAATAATGGCACTAAGAGATCTCGTTCGACTGTAATCCTCGTTTCTTTCGCGATTGATCAGCATTTTTGACCAAGCAAGCGCAAGACGACACTGTTGTATCACAATCTGCGACACACACACGCACATACATACACACGCTGACTCAGCCGTGCACAGAGAGAGAGAGAGAGAGAGAGAGAGAGAGAGAGAGAGAGAGAGAGAGAGAGAGAGAGAAGAACTCTCTCCCGCACTGATGCTGAACTCTCACTCTCGTTCTCTAGATGTCTCATGATAAGCAGTGACTTTGTATGTTTACCGAAATTCTAATGAACACGAGAAGTCGTTCGATAGATATTCGCGCGAAACGATCGATGAGCAATCGCTTTATCCGCTTGATGCAATATATAATTACTTTAAGTGTCGCTAAGATTCAATGTATTTGTGATGAAAATGAGGGAGAAAAAAGAAGAAGAAGAATCGAAGAAATATGTCGGCTCTCTTTCTCTCTATCTTTTTCTCTCTTCCTCTACCGTCTGCCTCTTCTCCGGGCAACAACGCGTTCACTAAATCCGTATAATCCGACGTCGTATCAGCGAACTCGATGAACTTCGTGAATGGCGTGACAAATCGGTCGGTTCTTCTCGAGCACGCTTTTCCACGTCACGAAAATGAGGGAGGAGCAGAGTCGCGAGAAAGAAAGAGGACACCGCCGGGAGGCAGTGCAAAACCGGAAAAAAAAAACGAATACTTGATGCGCGCGATCGATTGACATTTCATACATCCGATGAATTTAATAGATCTCTAATTTAATAAATGTATCTATTATTATTCTGTCTATAAAATATATTATATCTATTAATATTCCATCTGCATGTGTTAATGGATATTAAAAAAAAAAAAAAGAAACGCATAGATAGAATTTAATAGACGAATCTCTCGCAGCGAGATCTGTTAAATTACACTTTTATTCCGGCTGATCGATGTAACTTAATTGATAAAATTGATGAATTCAGTTGACGCGCACGACGACGCGTCTTCTCACGCGCGTTTCCACTCGTGCGAATATCGTGTTTGGTGAACGCGCTGTTTGCAAAGCCATCGTATGCGATACTGAAAGAAGACACCTGTATACTACGTGAAACTACGCACGTGTAGCACGAAAATTCGAATTCGCTCGCAGTAGCAGATTTTCCCACACCGCAGAAGGCCGGAAAGTTTTATCAATCGATCGATCAATCACACATCTTATCTCGCGTAATGTATGTTTGTGTGCGCGTGTATGTGTGTGTTTGCCAATTATAACGCATAGGAAATTATATGAGGAGGAGCGGAATACGGGACGATAATAGGCGTGTAAGTGAGAATTGTGACGTATTCATGAAAGGCGGCACGATCGTAAGCATTTACAGAACTCTGCGTGTTTAATCGATGAGAATTTCGATAACGACGTATACCGAGGGCCGCCCGCCGTGCTTCTCCCGACGGCGACGAGTCGACGGTTTGTAAACGATGTATGTATTATGATGAACGGAAGACGCTCACGGTGGCGAACTCTCGTGTCAAGACTGTAATAAGAAACAAATTTCTCGAGCGCGTTGTGATTCGTCTTTTCTCTTTCCATTTTCCCCCGATCGTTCTTATCCGTTGTCGCGGATCCTCTCACCGAAGAAGCCATGTCTCGCCACATTTGTATCTTCGGCATGTGTTTACATTTGCGTATCCATTATCATTAAGATGTATAGTTTTTCGAACGATAATAAAAATATCTTGATTTTAATGTGTCCCCTCCTCCGCCTTTCCCTGGAAGTGAGAAAAATTCCCGTACGATAATGATTCGTGCGTGACTTTCGGAACCACACTTTTGAAATAATAACAGCCGGACCGCTAACAGGCCGCCCGCGTCATCTAGCGGTGTCACGAAGATGGCGTAAATGGTGTTTAAGTCTCGGCTAAATGGTTCGAGTCTTGGTCAAGCTCACTTTAATTCCCCGCTATGAACCTCTTTTTTTATTTTCGGCCATATCGAGTCAATAACAGGTCGGACACACCTTATTTGCAAGTGGTATGTTCGCGTAATGATGAGTTCGACGACCTTATTTTTTTTTCTTATCTTTAGATAATAAGATCGTTTCTTTCTTTTCCTCGACGGTAGGTATATAATCGCTGTAAAATATTATTGATAATGATTTATTAGATATTAGTTATGAAAAGATTAAAAATTAATCTATAGTTCTTGATGCCTTCACACAATATAATTGAGAGATTGTTGAATTGATACTTTTTATAGCCGTTTATTTGGACGTTAGAATTGGTTCTTTTTTTTTCTTTAAATCGTTCAATCCTGCTTCGAGTGAAAGGTGAACTATACTTCTTAACATGTTTGTACAATTGCGACACACGATTAGACCAGAAAAGCATTTAAATGCGCTAGAGGCGTTGAAATAACTTCTCTATTCGTTCATTTTTTAAGTAAAAAGGAACTGAGAGGAAAAATGAGAGAAAGAAGTTGGAATTCTCATACCTTCCGTTATTCTCCGTGTTTTCCTCCCCCTTCAAATTCCTTTTTCTCAAATTTCACCGGATGTTCAAGCAAGACAAAGTTTCTCGTCATTTTATCTCTGCAGAATTCCGTGACCTACTTTCACCAGCCGCAACATCAGCCTGGAATCAGCTGATTCAACAGTGTCAAGCGTACGTGAGTGGCGAAAGAAGACGAACGGAATATTCCCCGTGTTCTCTCCGACGCGAAATGCGTTTATCCGTTGTTCGCATCCGCAAATACGCGTCAAGAACGATTCGAAACGCGAGTTAAAAAGCGCACCCAATAATACGTAGATCGCACGTCGCGCCTGATCAACTATACATTATGGATAACGCGCGCTCGCCGATGGATAACCTGCTCAACATGCTGTCGGGTTTCAGTGCGGGTCACGAGAAAGGCCTGAAGCAGGGAACTTACAATGCCGTCGCGCTCTTCTTGCTGTTCCTGATCCTGGCGGCAGGATACGGTCTCTACATCATACTAAGCCCTTTCCTCAAACCTCTGATTTGGGCCCTGCTATGCGGCTCCGTCCTGTTCCCGTTCAAGTACTCGTTGGCCACAACAGTGCAGTCGTGGTTCACCAAGGTGGAAACGTCACACACTCCTCTGGTGGTCAACATAAGCCTCCTGCCTGTGCACATATTCAATAATGTTTCCGAGCGCTTGGGCTCCTTCCTGTGGACGAATGTCAAGTACATCGTCGGAGTGCTCCTGTTGCTGTTGGTGATTTTAGGCGTATATCATTACGTTCCCACTGTAATGACGTACTTGGACTGCAGGTTATTCCGTATGCTCGCTGCTGTCTCAGAGTTCTTCATTACAACGTGCAACATTTACACGGTAATTCATGATGTATTTAGACCAGATTTGATTGTACAAATTAATATGAGTTATCCTATCTACCAGTAGAAATGCTGTTTCAATTAGGATATCCTTCATTTAAACATATTCATTTGATATTGTATACTTTTTATATATACTGTAGAAATAGCACAGTATACATCAGCAGATGCTCAATTACACAGGTCTCTACGATACTCATCGGGTACCTGATGATTCTGTACATCCACTGGACACCCGAGAACTCCGTACGATTCTGCTACACGTCCTTCGTGATATGGCTCATCATCAGCATGTACCTGTCGAGCGCGGCGGGCACTTATCGAGTCTACGTGTTCACCGTTCTTCAGATCTTGTACGTTGCAGGCTTCGTCTACGAGGTGTTGTCGATCATGGAGAGCCAAGTGCTGGACAGGCACCTCACGTTCTCGGAGGCCGCGCGCTTAGCTCTGATAAACAATCTGCCGGCGAGCGCGCAGGAGGAGGACAAAGTGGCCCCGCTGAGGTGCGAGAAGCGCCTTGTTCCGGAGGAAGAGAACGCTTCCACCGGAGAAGAAACGAAGGGAGAATTGGAGACCATCGATACGGCGAGGAAGGTCACCCCCACCAAAACGAAACTCGGCCTGAAGTCGATGTCTCTGGACGGCCCAGCGTCGTCCACCGGTAAGCTCGCGCGTAAGCTCTGGCCCAACGTGTACTTCGCGTCGCCGCGCGACCGTTACCTGCTGAGCAGGCTGAAGGCCGAGTTCCGGGTGTCGATGGACATCCAGGACGACAAGGTCGACACCGATAAGTACATGTACGCGGCTCTGTACGCGTGCATCGGTATGCTACTCTGGAAACACCTGTGGATCATGCACATCTTGGTGATCCCGGTGGCCTGCTACATCGTCAAGCAGCTGGGCGGTTACTTCGGCTTCTGGGAGACGATACACAGGCATTGCGACGCGATGGCGCAGGCGGCCAAGTCGTGGTGTCTGGAACGGCACCAGGCGCTCTTACCCTCCAACATCAGAGGCCTCTACAAGATGCTCGTCATCGTGGACGAGAAGGTGCGGGACGCCCTGAAGGGTTCCGTCGACTCGGTGGCGACCATCGCCGTGATACTCGGGCTCATCGTCTTCACCACTTGCGCGTCGATTTTCATCACCGTACAGGTGCGAAAACTCACGTTTCTGCATTTCTCCGAACGCTTCTTTACCCGCCACTCTCGCCAGGTCTACGCGGAAGGTTTGCACCTGGTCGAGGTTACGGGCGAGATCTTGAACTCCTTCATGAACAACTCCGACATCGACTGGGTGCCGGAGAAGTGGGAGGAGTCCGTCAACAGCGTCCTGGACAACGCTTACACCTACGGACGGGGCGCTATATCGGACGGCGTAAGATTCGCTTCTTCGTTCTTCCTTCCGCCTCAAACACCTTTTCTCTCTTGTTGCTTCAGATTCGACGTCTCATGAACGACCTGGAGCCGACGAAGGCCGAGCAGATGGAGAAGAAGGTCTTGGAGCTCTGGGACCGCCTCTACCAGGCATGGATGATGTCGAGCGAGGACAGCAATCTCGTCGGTCCTACCGTGGACATCACGTCCGCGTACAACGCTTGGGAGAGCCTGAAGGAGGGCTTCGAGAAGACACCTCTCCGTAAGGCACCTTGAGGCTCCCGGAAAATTGTTCGCGAAACATGATGGTTCCATCTTCTTCCAGAGATGTTCAACATGACAAGCATGCAAAATTTCGTAAAGGAGAACATCGGTATCCTGATGTCGGTGCTCGATTCCGTCTGGAGCATCGTCAGGGGCAACATGTCCATCATACTGACGATTTTCACGGAGCTCTTCTACGTCGTGCTCATGAGCGGCTCGGCAGTACTTAACTTCGCACTCAGTACGGTACGTGTCTCTTTCCGTCGCTAATTTCTATCGAACGAAAGATGGAGGATTCCTTCATTTCAGGTTGTGTTCTTCACGACCTTGTTCTACTTGCTCAGCTCCAGTGGTAAAACTTACAAGCCCATCGAACTGACGACTACGTACAGCCCGATCAGCTGTCACAGGTGAGTGCCCTGAGCGCGCGTACGTATTTCTCATTACATGCTTCTGAGGAAGCAGATCGCTTTCGAACTTTCACGAGAACGTTTACTTTTAACAAGCACGCCGCACATAGAAGGGTGAGTGAGTGTGTGTCAACTCGCTTAGGTCGATATCATCCTTTGCAAGAAAAAGAATTGAGCTCCTCGTGAGTGATACGCACGACAGTGATATCGCTTTGTCCAGGTTCGCCATGGCGTTGCAGGAGGCGGTGATCGAAGTGTTCGCCGCCACCTTCAAGCTCGCCTCGTTCTTCGGCATGTGGACGTGGTTCATACACAACCTGTTCCAAGTGAAGATCGTCTATCTACCGTCGGCCTTCGCGACTATGCTGGGCGCGGTGCCCTTCTTGGACGCGTACATCGCCTGTATCCCGGCCACGGTGGAACTCTGGTTCACTCGCGGCTCCGTGATCGCCATCCTCTTCTTCCTCTTCCACTTTTTGCCGTGCAATATCGTGGTGACGGAATTCTACAAGGAAATTAAAGGGTAATCGCATCGTCGCCTATAACGCTCTTACCGCAGCTTTCTCGCAGCAACGAGACCCTCGATAACCGCGTTATTTTTTTCATTTCTTCAAGAAAGTGCGCGTTACTTAAAAATAATAAAAAAAAAAGAAACTCTCAACTTTAAAAAGTAGCTATCTAAAGAATAACCAAGTTAAAAAGTCCTTATCTGTCGTTGCAATTCTCGTTTATTGTTTCAGTGGCGGGCATCCTTATCTAACAGGCCTGTCGATAGCGGGTGGGATCTTCTGTTTAGGCGTGGAAGGAGCGATATTCGGTCCCCTGTTGCTCTGTTGCATCATGGTCGCCATAAACATGAGTCGACGTTATCTGCATTCGCCGTCCTCCGCGATGGAGAATCGTACGGTGTACTTGGAGACGCCGTGACACGAAATAACGAATCGAAATAACTTTACGCTTATTAGCTAATAAGACTAATAACTTTAACTGCGTGAAACATCGCGACCTATCGGTTTAGCTCCGGCTTTCTCGTTGTAAGATTATGAACGTTGCATCGAACGTGCAGCGCGCTTGCACATACACACATATGCTTGACAGCGTGTGCAAACTCGCGCTTTGCACATTTCTTATGTGATGCGACAATGCGACTGTACGATTCGCTCGTATGTAACAGAGGAACCTCAGCTTACGCTTATATTTACACCTAAAAATATTTATATATACATATATATATATATATATATACGCGTATTTGTGAAATATTTTTTTTTATTTATAAGCGCTTTCTCTCGAGAATGAGACGTTCTTGGTTCCTTTCTTTTTTTTTAGTGGATCTGAAAGCAGGTAACAGACTTTTACAATCTTCCCTGCATCATGCTACATTTTTTTTCTACACATAAACAACACGTTATCGATCGTTATACAGGATATAATTTTTTTTAATTATTTTACATGTTGCATTTCTTGACTTGAGTAACGCGTATTTTGCCGCAATATATTGTTTCAATTTACACACGTAAGTATATTTAGTCATCAATTATTAACTACCGGTTGTATTAATTTGTGTTATATAGGAAGAAACGATATACGCGTCGATATGATACTAACTTCACAGATCTAACGAGTTACTTTTCATGTAAAAAAAAAAAAGATATACAGCCAAAGATTACGATAATAAATTTTCTTAATGTTTCGTCGCGTGTGTTAAGTTCTAAAAATTCCAGTTTGCGCAGAAAGCGATAAACGATCAAAGTGGTCCCACTCGCTACAACGCGATGTTGGTATCCATGATAGTCGGCGGTACCGTAATTATGCTTATCTTTCTCATCGGATTGGAAATTTATTTGCACTACGATCATTATTTTCCGCTGAGAACGGCCTGAGGAGAGTGATGGTACTAATTTATTTGAGAAAATTTATTCTTTCGGCTCTTGAGAGAATCCAGTAATTATAATATAAATCAGCATCTCGCATTACATGCGTGTGATAAATCATGTGTCCTTAAACGTCAAGATTAATGCGCGTTTTCTGTCTCGTAGTCGTCAGCCAAATCGCCATGCGCATGGTAAATGTCGGACAACACGGTTATTTTTAGATTTTCGCGCAACAATTCCATCGTGGTCGCCTCGTGCGTGTGGAAAATCACTTCTTTCCGCTGCTCGAACATGTGGAAGCCATTTTCGGAAAAACGGCCGCGTATGTTGCCCACTTCTAACCAGACGAATAGCGCTATATTGTCCGTCTTTAATATGAGCTTGAAGTCTGGATAATTGGAGAGTTTCCCAGGCAAGTGATTCTCCTCGATTACCAACTGCAAGAAAATCGATTAAATTTTTGAATTAAATCGATAGACAAATAAGTCTAAAAATCAAGTCTGAAGGAACTAGTACTGCGGTAAGGCGGTATTTTTCTAAGAAGGTTTTTTTTAATAATATGATCACACACCTCTAGGTTGATTTTATAATAATTATAGCATGTCAAATATGATTTATGTTACTACACTATATGTATTACAGATTCCCTTACAGTAACATTGGCTAATGCTATATCCGCATCCTTCAATGCAATGGGATATACGTAATTAACCGGCGCGATCAGAGACCTGGACTCGTCTGTGAACGACAAAGTGACTACGCAAGATTTCTTGGCGGATTGCAATGAACCACAGCCCACTTCGGAGAGAAACGCGTCTAACCAGAAGGTTGTAATTTTTATGGCTTTGTTGGGTGGCTGAAAGCATTAATACAAAATTAAGTCACTGTACACACGTATATATGTACTGATATGACAACTTCATTATGATGTAGTACTTACTACTATGATATTGTTGTAGGACTTTGTGTGCACAGGTGTCATAGATTTCCAGTTGTAAACGCGAATATCCAGGTGGCAATTTGTCAACCAGTACAATCGGTCGGATATGGCGTATATTGTGAGCTCATCGGAGCTCACTAAGCGCGGCGAAACGATAATCGGTGCGAAGAAGTCCTTGGCGTAGTGATGAAGCATTTTCCATCGACCTTCAATATCTATAAAGCAAAGATATTCTTGTATTTCCTCCCCCTTTTTTACCTCAAATTTATATGTACTGTTTATATGTATGAAATATAATTGAGAAAAAAGATTTTGTATTTGAAGTCTTCTTTTATTTACAAGCGCTTTCTCTCGAATGACACATTCCTAATTCTTTTTTCAATTAATTTCAATCTATTATTATTTTCAGAATAAGAACGGCAATTCGAACTTCTTCAGCTATCTTCTAGGTTAATTTCGCTCGTTGTAATGTTTGGAAGTATCAGTGCCTTCGATTACCTATGGAGGACCATGAAGGTGCCTGCCAGACGTCGTTCAACTGCCAATAGAGAGCCCCCATCGTCATACCTTCACCAATAGAATTCACTTCGGATTTGAGTTGCCTGTACCCTTCCGTCTCTACCTTCACAGAGACCGCCTGATTGATTTGGCTAAGGTACACGTAAGTTTCAAAATCTTTTACGCTGTCATTACTTTGCGGTAGAACGAAGTTCTGCGAGATCAGTATCTTCATGAACTCATTGCCGAATGGCAGATGTTGCCGGTGTTTTATGAAATCACTGTCCATGCTGAGATCCTTCGCGGTTTCGGCAGCCGTTATCATCGTGTATACCGACGGCCAAGATTGAAACCCGTACTCGGAGCAAAACCTTGTTCGAGGATACTGACTGACGTCCCATCCATTTTTGAGATAGTTGTAATAGTGAACTGAAAGAAGAAGATATTTAACCTTATAACTGCAAAGAACCATGTACAATATATATATATATATATACAAAGAAAAAGTTTATATATAAAGACGATTTTCATCAAAGTTTAATTAAGGTAATCGACGATATTTAAAATACGTCTCTCAACTTACCTGCTCTATTTTGTTAACACAGATAGAAATTATTAACTTTTCGATTATTGTTGAACGACAAGTTACAGAACTAGAAACCGATTCTTAATGTTATTCACCGATTAGCTTAATTGGACATTTTTGGTGAAAGTCATTCTATAAGTGGAATTACTCCTTTTAGTCTTTACTACTTTACTATTTCCACCAGTAGCACATTCTTACGTTGACTTTGCGAAGCATCTTCAAAGAACAAACAGTGAGATCCGTTTTTCTTTGGAGCAAGCTGCCGTGATAATTATGAATATTAATGAATATTAATATTAATTACAGTCGAACGATACGTTACCGTCGCCGTAGAAATTTGAGTAGGGATCCACGCCGGTATAATTATACGTCTCCTCGAGCGCCCCGTTGCCCGGACTAGACACGAGGAACGGCCTCAGGGGATCCAGCGTTTCCACTTCGATCTTGAGCAGGTTCACGTAGAGTTCCACGTAATCCGTCTTGTAAACTTCGGCGGAGCCGGTGCCGTACCAGTTGCCGTAGAGCGCCGCCTCGTTCTCGTTGTTGCCGGCCCACAACACGATGCTCGGGTGATTCTTCAGACGTATCACGTTCTGCACCACCTCCTCTTTCACATTATTCAGGAACGATTCGGTCGTGGGATACATGGCACAAGCGAACATGAAATCCTGCCAGATCATGATGCCGTACTCGTCGGCCAAGTCGTAGAACAACTTGGACTCGTAGATACCGCCGCCCCAAACCCTCAGCATATTCATGTGCGTTTCCTTGGTGGACGACAACAAGTGCCTGATGGTTTCTTCTTTCGCACCCAATTCCGGGAAGATACTGGCCGGGATGAAATTGCTGCCCTTCGCGAAGACCGGCACACCGTTTATGCGGAAGTAAAAGCTCCGACCGTTATCCAACGGCTCCTGCATCAGCTTCACCGTTCTGAAGCCCACACGGATCTTCTTGTGCAATATATCATCCATCGTTATCACCGTAGTGGACAAGTAATACAAGTGTTGCTTGCCGTAGCCGTTCGGCCACCAAGCCTCTACGGCGTCCTGCGGAAGGAAAAAAAGTGACGTTAATTAACGCACCATGGAAGATTTTATTCTCAAATCTGTCTTAAAACTTTTATTTATATAAAATGGGAAAGTACGATTTTTTTCTTAATACAGATTTATGTGTAAATTTCGTGAGAGGAAGTAAATTTTCCAATTTGGAATTTTTGGAGAGTTTGCTCTCATTAAATTTCCCCGAATCTCGCACTCAAGAAAATGAAAAATAGAATAATTTTGTTAATATAAACTTAAATTCGTTTGGAAATGAACTCTCTCCCTAATCGCGAAATAATAAATAATGGCATCAATTTTGACAGAAATATTTAACTTCTTCTCGTAAACGCTGTCGCACTCACCGTAGGCACGGTCAGTTGAATGTTAATCTTTACGTATCTCTCGCTCGTGTCGAGCATTACTTCGCTGGTGTTACTGATGACCTTGTCCTGCGCGATGTGCAACGTCGCTGCGGAGGTGACGACGAAGTTCTGCAACTCATTGCTCTTGTTCCGCGTTACCTCGAGATATATCGTAACGAGGATCCACCACTTGTCATTTTGCTTACGTATATCGGCCGTGACGTCGTTCATCATTACATCGTTCACGGGAATCAATTCGACGTCCTTCCTGCAAGCTTATCTCACGTGACGCGTGTGAAGGTGACACGAGGTGATGCAAGGTTTCTAATTACCAGATGCCGATCGAGGGAAAAGCGGGCCCCCAGTCCCACGAGAAGCTGGCTTGCATCTTACGGATGTGATTCACGTGGCAAACTCCGTTGTACTCCTTGGGCACGCACACCGGCCGTACGATGTAGCTCCTCTGCTGCTCATTGTACAGATCCTCCGCCACTTTGACGGCCGAACGGAACGCGACCTTCAGTATATTCTGCCCTTCCTGCAAATCCCCAAATGAAGTTATATCGGAACTCTCTCACTCGTCGCACGACGCTCCGCACCTGGATGTGATCCGTCACGTCGAAGGTATACCTCAGGAACATGTTCGTAGTCTCGCCAACCGCCCGGTCGTTCAAAGTGATACTGGAGAACGTGTCGACTCCGTGAAAGACCAAGACGATCCTTCGGGCTTTCGGGAAATCGTGGCCCACTGAAAAGCGTGCGATTTAGACTTCCCTCATCATCGGGTTGCGCTGTTTGATCGCGGTGTTCTTCTCGAATTTACCGGTGAATTCTTTAATGTAAGTCACAGATTGATTCCCGACCCAACGATTGTTCACGTCGTTCATCCCTAGCAGGTTGTCCTCTATCAAGTTATTCATGTACAAGTCTGTATAAATTCCTCCAGGGACAGTTCCACTAAACTCAACATCTATGAAGTATGATAATTATGAAATCAGTATTGAATAACATCCTGAAGAAAGACATTGTCACGGATTAGAAACGGATTACGCTATTTATGCTAGATCTTAATAAACTGAAGTTCTAATCTTATCACTATTTTCGGAGTTCACCTGGAAAAGATATTTTTATCGTAATTTCATTGGGCATTGTACCATACGGCGAGACAAATAACGACTCACTTGTTCCTGGCAAAGGATAGAAATATCTTGTGGTACTTACCACAGCCATTGATGGTTCCATTCCATGCGCCATTTAGGGTTATGGTCTGACACTTTATACCAATTAGAGATGAAATCCACAATGTCAAGGTGGAGAGTCTCATGTTACCTGGTAGTGTGGATACGTTGGTAAATGATGATCACCTAAAGGCAAGAACTGACAGGAATTAATTCAATGAGGGCTCTTTGTGCATTCAGTACTTTTTACATCGCAGAAGAGTGCGCAATCCCTTGTAAAGATTACAATAAAAACGGAACAGTAGCTCATTCGAACGGTAATTTTGTACTATCTTCGTTCCAGAAATGCTCTTCATAATCATCGATTATCGCTTCCGATGAAGCCCAAGTTTGCTCCTCATGTGCTAACCTTTGATATCAGGAGAGAATGATGTGCTATATATTGCATTTATCTTATCTCATCATTTCGTAATGGCTGATGGAGAGTGTATTGTTAAATGGTACGAAAATGTCGATCGAAAAAAACATTGTTGAAGAAAAGATATGTACGTTATCGCAAAACTCTTATAGATATCTTATTCAATTGACACGACATAATAGTAACAATTTTGTTGCTTATCATACGTGTACGAATATACGCAAGGTTAATGAAAACTCTTGTGTGACAATCCTTAGTGTTATTTTATTTATAAACAACAATGTGATTTTCTATCGGTATAAAAATATCATCTTAATTTCAGCGTGTCGACACACACACACGTTGCATGTAAATTCATATGATTTACTGTGACGATTATATGTACATATAATCCGTTAAAAAAATGTCCTGCAATTTCTTACTACGAGACAATCATCAATTTGATGCTTTAATAGTTCGTTTCAGAGGTTGCTTGGAATTACTGTGCGTATATTGCATAACAGAAGTATCATTCATATCGTGCGAATGGAATCTATTTATACATATTCGACAAGTTCTGAGAAAAAAAAAAAATATATATGGCATATATATACGCATATAATATAAATAATTGGGAGATTATATAATCTCCCAATTATTTATATTTTATGCGTGTAATATAAAAAAAAAAAAAA